TATGCAGAGGATAAGATGAGCGTTGGTGTTGAAGGATTGAGGCGTAGTTCATTACGGTAACTACCTAACTGCGGGGATATGCAGGGGTACTCCTTTCGGCACCCGTTAACCAATAATATTTACAGTATCAGGGATGAATCCCCCATGACTTCATCTACTCACAAGCCAAAGAACTATACCTATTCCCATGCCCAGATAAATACCCCTTCCTATAATCCTCCCCCTCATCTTCCCCAGCCCTCGCAACCCTATCCTCAATAGCCCACGCGATCCTCTCCGCACCGACCTGCGCACCGCCTAGATTTGGTGCCGCAGGGCCGAGACGCAGTGCAGCCAGTCTTCCCATCATGAAGAGCGGGACATCATCGTTCCACATTAAATCGTTGTTTATACAGGGAAAACCACCGCGTCCTTCGATGGGGTACTTCGATAGAATTGTTTGGAGGTAGGGGAGGGAGGAGAAGTCTGTTTGGATCCCGGTTGCGAAGTACATGTAGTCCATGGCTGGCATCTCGGTAGGTGGATTGGTCTGAACACTCCATGTACCCTTCTCAGCGTCGAATTGCGCATCGGTGAGACTTGTTTCAGTGAAGAGTTCGAGTTTCTTCGTGAGGAGATGTTTCTTGAGTCGTTTGTGGAAGACAGGCGTGATACTTCCTCCACCTCTTGCCTCCTTGATCATCTCAATCCTCTCATCGTCTGAATCAGCGTAGTAAAACTGCGCTTGCTTCGCATTCTTAAACTTCCCCATCCACTCGAGTCCAACGTCAAAATGCTTAATCCGCAGTGGTCCACGCATGACATGCCACACCTTGGTGACGCCCTTTCGAATAGCAAGATCCGTCAACTGCGCAGAAGTCAGACCGCCTCCAACGATAAGAATATCCGTTGTTTTCTTAGCAGCGATTCGAGCTTTGACGATGGGGTCTGGGAATTCGGTGATGTGCATGCTGTGACATGTCTGAGGGAGGTTTGAGTCTGGCATAGAAGGGATGCGGGGGATTTTGGCAACGTTTGCTGGACCGACTGCCAGGACTACTGTGCGAGCGTATCGACAAGTTTTGTTGGTTGTTACGGTGAAGAGTTTCTCGCCGTCGATGGAGATACCCTTTACTTCATCGTAGTCCAGATGCTGAAGGGATTCTTTGCGGATCATGTTTGAGCTGAGGTTGTACCGCGCTGCTACTTTTTCGCAGTGGTCGCAGAAGAGAGATGTTGAGGGGTTGTAGTAGTCATTGCGCTCTCTGACGTTGATGTCAACACGAGCTTCTTGTCTACTTACGTTAGTAAGATGGTTCAAAGAGGGAGTATGAGAGAGGTTACCTTCGACCACAAGCTCGCTGACCACTCTTCTTCCTCCCATGTTTACTAACCTCCTTGCCCACACAATTCCTAATCTCAACAAGTTCATCCGCTCTATCATTAGCATACGCATGCGCCAGCAGCGCATCCCGATCAAGCGGATCAACATGCCAAAGCATGGGACTTCTCAAATGCGAGATATCATACATCTTGAACAACCTGTTCCAACGGCCCATCCACGTATCGCTATCTGCATCAAGAACCAACATTTTATACTGTGGTTTTGCGGCTTGCTTGGGAGGTGAGATTTTACCACTGCGGACGTGCTTGAGGGGCATTTTGTTGCCGTACTTGGAGATCCAGTGGAAGCGACGGTGTTCTTCGTCGGTGAAGAGGGCGGCGGGGGTGTGTTCGTGGAGACGGGCTGAGATGGCGAGACCGCAGGGGCCGGCGCCTATGACGAGGACGTCGTAGATTTCTTCTTCTACTTGGATTGAAGACATTGTGATGGTGGTTGAGGTGTAAGTTCAAGGTGGTCAGGGGTCTGGGGAAGATGCTGGTTTATATGGTGACAGGTCCAGCCCTCGGTCGTGAGCCCTCATGGAGTATATCGTGAGAATTGAGAACCCTTATGGGCGATTCTAGAGCCATATTGTGTATATCTTCAGTAATTCGTGGTGTTGTGAACTACCCTGATGGACATTGCATCATGAGGACATCAAGGTCCATGGTTTAAGTCAGGGTCCACTAGCTCATCATGACAACCCCAGACCTTAATACGATACTCATGATGATTCATGTAGACGCCAATAATAAAGCCATATTGAGGGGCTCACGAAGTTCAAGACTGAAGAATGCTTACACGACTTGGCGCCATGGCAGACCTGGCATCAATTGCCAGAGTGAGGGACCTGGACATTCTCATCTTTTTATACTGAGTCTGAAAGGGTTTGATCACGAGTATGTCTATTGCTTCTATGTACTCATCGATGTATCGTTCAAATCGCTTATGCCGATGCTCATCATCCTATCCCACCATACATGTGAGGACATCTCAACCAATATCACCCGCCAAGTCCACAACCAAGCCCATTCGCAATCTATGCCGTAAGCCAAGCTCCAACACCATATCTACACCTATATCATACAACCCCCCCTTCTCTCCCATCTTCTTCCTTTCACCTCCTAATGATTCCACTCCGAATCAAGCGCATGCCCCAAAGGTCCACTCGCCGCATAATCCGTCGTCACAAACGCCCTATCCACAACCCCCAACCCCTCTGCACAATACTGCAACGTCTCCGCGATATCATGCGATCGATTCAACGGCGTCTTCTCATCCAGCAACACGTCAAACTCAACCCATACTCCATCTCCCGCATGATACGCCGTTACGTTCTTGAAACCTGCTACCACAGGTGCGAAGCGATAGGCGAGATAAATAAGTTTCTTGAGCGTGTGGTCGTCTGCTGCTTCGCCCGAGAGGCGCACCACGTTCTCGAAACATGTATGGCCCCAGTCGTAGATGATGAACAGAGACAAAAGGCCAGCGCCGACGGGGTCGAGCCACCATATGTTTGCGCGGTATCCGATCAGTGGAAAGAGAAGTGAGAGCGTGTTGAAGATGACATCTGTTTTGCAATCTTGCACAAGAGCTTGTACCTGACTTGACTTGATAGGTCGACATCCCAGCCCAATCGCTCCCTTGAGGATAATCGTCGCGAGCAGAGACGCAATAGCAGCCCAGCTCAGAATCTCCGCCTCAGAGTGTTTCAGCAACCGGGAGAAGGACTCTTGCAGAATCTGCAGAAACGAAATGACCATGATGATCGAAAACACGAGAATACCCAATGGTTCCAAACGTCTTTTTCCAACTGGAAAGCGTCGCTGCATCGCCTGCAGCCGCCAGAGCACAAGTCTACTCGTCGACCACACGATGAGTGTGCATAGTAGATCCAGCGCTGAATCCACAAGCGACGCAACGAGCGATAGCGATCCCGTCGTGAACACAGCAAAAGCCTTTCCCGCCAAAAGAAGAATATTAGCCATCACATTAATATTGATAGCCAAATTCGCCTTCCTCGCAGCTTTTCTCCTCTTCTCCTTCTCCTCCTCAGGCAACAACTCTCCAATCCTACCCTCCACACGCTGAATCCCTCCACATCTCTCCTGGTCGCCATCATGATCCGGATCAGGATTCATGCTCTCAAGCACATCATCCGCAATCGCCATAACCACAGCATCTACCTCGAGCCAATCATTAAGCCGCTCATTCTGCTGCTCGTAAAAAGCACGGAGTTTTTTATTCTTCATCGCTTTGAGCTCCTCTTCTGACTTTCTGTACTTTTCTAGGCCTTGACGGTCGATGCCGTGGAGCAGTGCGCGCTTGATCTCACCGCGGCGTGCGTCCTCGAGAGCTGTGCGCGCTGCGTCTTGGAATTGCATTATTCGGGGCTTGGGACGGGATTTCTGGTTGGGGTCGTAGTATGAGTATCGACCTGTTTCGAGATCGCGAGGGTGGTCATCGTGGTTTGATTCATCGCCGACGTGACGGCCGCGATGGCGAGGGCCTTCATTATTCCACTGACGTTTTCCCACCATTTTGATGCCTTCTCTTTAACCAACTAAAGTATATAAGAAATGATATAAGGTACAGAAGCTGATGGTGAGACGGGAGCTGCTTTTTGTTTATTCCCGGCTGAGAGCTACACCCTTGTCCAACTTGTAGCACGATATGACGTAGGTGACGTAGAAATCCGGGGTTTCAAGACGCACGCGAACGGGGACAGGTTCAGGAACGAGAGGGAGCTCCACTAAATCGGAGAAATAACAAGGAAATAGCTGCGTTTCTTTTTCTATTTTCGTGTTTTCTCAACTTGTTCTTGTTTGCGATGTTTTTTATTGTGGAAATCTTTCGTATGCTTCTGTGCCGTTTATCCCGATGTCTTGGTATCTCGTCGTCATGGGTAAGCCTGTTACGCGCTGATAATTAGTTTGATCTCGATTTACGGATATAGCGGCTGGTTTAAGGGACGATTCATCAGATGGCGTTAAACTGTTTTCATACTAACGTTAGGTACCATGTCTTTGGCTGTATTCATGCTGTCTAGGGGAGGAAAGAAAACTTAGGACCTCAACCCTAAGTAATAAAAATATTTAGGTAAATTTAGCCTAAGTTTAGGGCACTTTTTGCTTCGTTTATTTTGACACCTTATATCAAGGTTTGGTGTTTTCTTGCCCCCTGAGGGCTGTACCATGTTACAACATGGACCAGGGTTCAAGAATGCACAAAGGCTGCTATGCAGTGAGAAGCAACACCTCCGCATTTGATCACGATAATAAATAAGTCACATAGCTTATTAAGACTCTCTTTTATTTAGAAGATTATATTCCTTACTAATAGTTCGAGAATTAGTTCTTCATCAAAAGCCCCAGCGAGTGCACGACGGCTGGAGCCTGATTCCTTGTGTCCTCCTTATCTTACTGCGCGTTAACAAAGCTTTTTACCTCTTTTCTATATCACAAATAGCTAGATAAATTTACTATAAGAGGAAACATTTATATAACTCGTGTTAGGCATCACAACTTTAGGGTCATAGAAAGTTGGGTATCAATAAACCATTCTTGGCATCTATCGAAGACTCAGCATATATAGGCAAAGTATTTCGGTATAAGATAGTACTTGAGTATTTGTCGACCTAAGGGATAACCAAAGGTCCCTCTTCCACTCCTCCACTCCCCTGCTTCGGACTGTGCTTCAACTCCTCTCCCGTTGACTTGAGCAATCGTGACGAACCCTCAGCATTAGCCCATCCCGTGGCCATGAAGTCGGCGGTGATGCTTGAAACAACATAGTCATTGAGTTCCCGCTGCTCGCATCTGTCCTCCTCCTCAAGTCGAATCTTTTCCTCCTCACTCATATTTTCGCGGCGCAGGCTTTTTATCTCATTCATGACGTACAGCAGCACGGCTTCTGGACAACGATCTCGCTCCGCTGCGTGCTCCAGCTTGCGAACATACCGTCGCGTGACATCCGTAGCTCCGTCGGTAGAGAAGGCTATGACATATGCCATTTTCTTTCCCCAGCCTAAGTTCGAAACGTCAGTGCTGTGTCTTGGGGCGGGCAATGCTTGTGAGAATCTCGAGTGCGATGACTTACCTTCGCTGTATAATTTTGGGCCATCGAAAACGCCCTCGCATGGATCAACATGAACCCATCTCTTCCTGTACTCCGAGTACACCTCTGTCCAAAGGTGGTCTTCGCTGTTCCACACCCACCGCGCCCTGGCGCCCATGGCCCGGCACAGCATCGTGAAGCAGCTCACCCACTCACCGACTCGCCCTCGTCTGGTCTGGAGTAGCTTCCATACATCTAAGTATCGGGGGAATCGCACGTATGCTAGGCAGTCTCTCCTTGAACATCTGTAGAGCTCGACACGCGAGGCACTGCAAGCTGACTCTTCCGAGCTCGGCGCAGTGAGCCCTTGAGCAAGCGTTGGGGATGAACATGTCGGACATGGTGGATTGTTGACCCAACTGAAAAAAGAGTGTTTGAACCATTGCAGCATTGCACGGATGATGCAGTCGCTGTAACCCCACTCTGGCTGCCGTCCATCTCCATATGATTCTGCCTGGGCCTGGAATATCATGCTCTCTTCTTCAGCTTCGCTGTACAGTCTCTTCAGCGGGATGCTGGCCAGAGCCTCGTCAAGTAACCCTGGGTTCTCGTACTTCGCTGGGGTCAGGGAGAGGGTCATCAGAAGGTTACGGAACCTTTTGGACCTCTGGTCGTTTACATTTGGAGGCTGGGGGAACAATGGTGTCCGCGCTGGTCTCCGGTTTTGGGATGGTGGTAGTAATGCTTTTCCATTGCCAGTTGCAGTGTACTGCGGAGATGACTCTCCCTCAGTAGGCAGACTATAGGGCGGAGTTGATTCATCCTCGGTAGATGAAACTGCTTGTTCAATAGTAGCTTGGCGACGGCCAGTCCGTGATAGCTTCAGTTCATCCAATAGTTTGATCCGCCACTGGCTCTCAAATCGACTTCCCAAGTCTCGGATCCAGTCTTGGTCGTTCCCCGATGGCGTTTCAGAAGAGGATGCCGTGACGGACTTTGCGTGTTGCAGATGCGTAACATGGTCTAGTTTTTTATCAAAGTTGTATAGCGATGTGGCTCCAGTGAGAGGCAGATGAGGGGAATGCTTCACTCGCGCTTCTATGTCATCGAATACACGAGAAAACGGTATCACAATTGCAGCACCTGAATCCGGTGACCCAGCCACAATGTGTCCATACAAGTCCCCAGACTCGGCGTCAATGATCCAGGAGCCACAGTCCCCAGCCTCTAACCGCGAGTCCAAGAGGACGTTGTATCCCTCCTGGTACAGACTGCTGCCGGGGAGTCGGGCGTACAGGGGAGTACCTGACATGACTCCTGTAAGTGTTCCTCTCGACGTGGAGCCCAAGATCTTGACGTCCTTGGGGCCGTCTGTGACGACGTGCTGGATCTCGGATTCGACATTTACAGAAGATGAGGAAACGGCGATCTTGTTCGCGGTGCAGTGAATGGGCCTGGTCACCTCGATCAGGGCGTAGTCAAGACCAGACGGTGGTTCGTCGAGGGAGGACAGATAGACATGTCCTAGACTTTGTGGAGGCAGGAAAGTGTTCAGTGAAGGCCCTTTCTCGACAACACGACGGTTCTTGCATTTCGACCCCTCCTGTGTTGCTTGCATATCTTGCACGTTCGGTGAGAATGGTAGCTGGAGCATCCTGCTCTCAGCCGAGCTTGGGTATGGCGGGCTCATGGCGACGTCGTGGGCCTGTGCCAACCAATTTTTCTCACAGGCTGACGATTCCACCTCATCATCGTCGTCGTCAATCTCAAATTCGTCGTCGCTGACTTGGCCCTCTGTGTAGCCCGGGGCCGTGTCGCGGCTGAGCACATGACCTGCTGTGGTGTAGTAGAATTTGTCCGACAGCTGGATGATGCCACCGACGGTGGCTTGTTTGTAATAAGTCTCTTCACCTATGCTTGCTTCAACGAACAACGGCATCCCGCATGGGTTACTCTCAAGAGACGCAAGGACAGGTCGATAGTCATATGACTCGTCTGCCAACTGAACGAGCTGATTGAAGTCGGGCGGTCGAGCCATGTGTGCCGTCTTAACACCAGGGAACTCATTGAGAATGCCGCTGTCTTTGATTGCATTTCTCACCTGTTTGCGATGCGCAACGACTTCGCAGCAAAACAGGATGGCTGGGCTGGCACTGTTCTCCGACTTACCAAACATATAGATAGACCATGTAACCCAGCTCGATACTGGTTCGACTGACCTCTCGAGGTAGGCTTTAATCTTTGGAGCCAGCGCCGCGAATGCGTCTCTCGCTGGGCCTTTGGCCACCCAACATAGCTCCTTGCCGACCTTGCCTATGTAGCGGCCGATAGATAGCTCTGGTTCAGGCCATACGAGAGGTTTAGTTGCGGACTTGCCACTAAGTATGGCGATGCCGTTCTCCCAGGATCGCAGTGGAGACGTCACGATTTCCAGTGGCATGGCTCAACTTATTTTATGGTATTTTCTCAATTCATGAGAAGTATGGATTTTCAAGTCATGAAAAAGCTGCCTCTCGACATTGATGAGGGGGATTGGGGGCTGTGTGCAGAGGATCGTCTTGCTGATGAGGCGGAGCATCCGCCAATGACAGATGCAGTCTCATGCACCCAAACAAGACTGGCTGCCTCATCCGCCTTATCCTCCATCAGCGTCTTAGAGCCTTATATTTCGTGTAAGCTAAATAAATTAGAAGGCGACTGAAATCGCGATCATGGCAAACAAGACGGAGCTCGATTCGAGCCTGCTGGATCTCCCACTGCAGCAACTCACCAAAGCAACCATAGCCAGCGAATACTGGGCCTCCCAGCACCAGGATCAACGCCTCAACAGCGTGGACTTTGACCTGCGATCCTTTTGGACATACTACAACAAAGAATGCGCCAGGGCTCTGCACAACGGAGGGCGATACGTGGCTCTGCGATCGCACCGCGATGTGGTCGACTGCATTCGCAAACTCAAGCGCGGCATGTTGCGCCATGAAATCAAGGAGGAGCTGCGAGAGAAACTCACAGCGCCTCACGACAACGAAGACGAGATGCTCGACAACTCGATAGATCTGGCCGCGAGTCTGCTAATGATGATGAGCTTCTGCAGTTTCACGTACGGCTTCTCTGGTCGGAGCCATCTCCGTTGGAGTCACGGGTCCCTGGAGAGCTTTGTGTCAGCCTACTTTGATCCTGGAGCTTCCCATCTGGCCAAGGAGAATATCAAGATGGAGAAGATATTCACTGCGCGCAACCTGTGCCGCATCGCAGGGCTGGATATCGTTTGGACTGATAATTTGGTAGACCACCTCCGACTGACAGATGACGATCGACGTGTGCACATCTTCCATCATGCTTCGTTCCTTTACGTCCAACAACAAAGGTTCACAATTCTTCAAGACCACTTACTGTCTGAGCTCACTGACTTATCGTGACAGCGCCGACTCACTACTACCAAAAGGTCTCGCAGATGAGACGTTGCAGACATTAGCACTCCTCTTTCCATCCTCAGACGTGGAAACGAGGAAGTGGTTCTCCAAATTGTCCGACGCGGAGCTTGACAAACGAGCCATCCAGTGTGGACAACTAAAAACGGACCATCGACAAACCGAAAAGTTTAGATATTGGAATGATCGTCTTGTCGTGTTGAAGCAGGTCTTTGACGAAGCACAGCCAAAATCGTTATCGCAATGGTGGCATGATAGGCGAAATGGCGTCCAATGGTAGCGGATCTTTCCAACGTACACTGACAGTTCATCCGCTAATACCGGCCTCGTCAACAGGTACACATTCTGGGTAGCCGTCCTCGTTCTTGTGTTGACGATATTCTTTGGCTTGGTGCAAAGTATTGAAGGTGCTTTACAAGTGTATGCATCCTTCAAAGGTCTCGATGGTTCAACATGAAAGTCGGGGATAGATCCTACTGTCCACGAGTCAAGAGGCACAAGCTCTACGGAGACGTATATGTTGGAATAACGGAAAGGCGAAGGAATATGGCAACGTTATTCGGTACAGATTTATATCTTATCTCGACAAACTGAATGGCGTTTGACCTACCCCATGTTGGGTCCTGGGGTGATAGACCATGCCTGTCCTTTGAAGAGCAGACGCCCATCTTGCCTGAGTTTCTCTGGGTCGGTATAAACACACAGACCAATCCCGTCGCTATCAAGCTGGAACACGCGGAAGACAATATAGATCTCTGAGCGGTCTTCGGTATGGTGAATTTGCTGCATCTGCATAAAGTCAGCCGATTATCAGAACAATTATCCTCCCAACGCTTACCAGCTGGTATTGCTTGCCACTCATGTAGAACGCGGTACTACGTGGCCCAGTCGTTGTCTTGACTTCTATGTAATATTTAGGCCGCGCCTCATGCCACTCATCGTGACCAAGATAGCCACAACCGATCAGCGTGTTTGTCAAGTGTCCTTCAGCGTCGACGTAGACCAGATCGGCGGTTTCCCTCCCTCTCCAAGCCTGTAGATTCGTGTAGTCTGGGTGAATGGTCACGTATGATCTGATGGTACTTTGCCAATTCGTGCGGTTCCAATTTGGCAAGTTAAGACATGAGAGAAGCTCGAATACCTATTCGAAGACATCAGTTAGCCTCAAAAGCCTACCATGTACAGGTAAGGTTGCTCACATATAGCTCGCCTGCAGCCCCAACCTTCTTGTCGCGCTCTAGCTGATTGGTTGACCGAAATTGGCCCATGACATCCAGCCCATCAAAACTCTGGTAAGCGTCCGTATCACCCCCAGGTAAAGCATTCCGCATATCGGTCATGTCAAATGACCCTCTGGACGGAAATGCCGCATTCCGGGCTTTTTCAACAACCCTGTCTAGGATTGAGCGATATCTCGCGTCTTCGAAAGATTGCTGTTCAGGCAGTGAGGTCATAGCCGAAAGCGTGCTTGAAGGAGCTTGGTCGGTTGGGTGGTGTAATGGCTGTGGTGAGCTAGGAAACAAATCTGATTGGGAAGCGCGATGTACCCTTCCTGAATAAGGCTGATATGACATCTGACTTCGCTGGGAGATGGTCTCGACGACTGTTCCAGGAGGGCTTCCCTCTGGCGAAATTCCAGAGGATCCAGCATATGGCGGCGTGCCAGAATTTATAGAAGAATGATCGGGTGTCAGTTGTTCTGTAGAGGTATCATGGGTTTCGAGGCGGCTATCTGATAGTCGTTGTTCTTGGCCTTCTTCCTCCTGATCTTCTACCTGATGCTCCTCTGCCTCGTCACTGCTGTCTTCTTCATCCTGCTTGTCGAAAGATACTGTTAATATTCCCTGGTCGTCGAGGACATCATCAAGGACGAATCTTTCACTTGCAAAGACTGCAGTCAAGACTTTAACTATGTCCGTTTCGATAGGTCCATCGGTGAGGCTCTTCGACGGGTGCATTAGCCATGCCGCGAATTTCCTAGGAAGGACCGAACCGAAGCAGAGCTCTTGCGCTCTTCGCTCTTTTGGGACATAAATCGTGAGGTTTCCTGTCGAATCTTCGATGTGCTCGTTGGCGGTTGCTACTGGAATCTCAAATGACTGCTTGTTTTGGAATATTTTCAACACAGACGAAATTCTTTCAACCTCCACGACTCTCATTGTGCGAAGTTGCTCATAGAGACCAAGCGGGTTGTCCTCAAATCGAGGGCTATTGAAAGTAGAAGCGACACTACAGGATAAGCCGTTATTAGTATCTCCAAACCAATAAATAGTAGAAGGAAATGCACCCCCTTTCAGTACATACCGAACAATGTGGTAAGCCTTGCGTTTGAGGTCTCGGTTGGGTGTAGAAATCGGACGCTCCGAATCACTGCAGATGAAAGTACTTTCTTCAACAGAGTTAGACAAGTATCGATATTGGAGTCCCAGCCATTCGATCAACGGTCTGAGGCGACGGACTTCATCCATCTCAAAGTCCAAAAGAGCAATCTTGTCACGAAACATTGTCTTCAATTTGTCCCGATCTCCAATGGCAAAGTCAACGCTCACAGAGCACAAAACGATAGTGCCAGTTGGGTATCTGACCGGAAAGACTTTGGCTTGTCTGATCGGCTCCGGATCCAGTCGTGTCGTTTCTGTTTGTAGGAGACCATTGAGTGACAGAACAGCTACTTTGGTCTCTTCCGTATTGGTCCCTGATGATTGTCGCAGTTCATCATAGACCATCTGCAAGGTGAGCAGCTTCACACCTAGTTTGCCAACAAAGAAGTTCTCATAAGCTTCCCAACATTCATCCAGGATGGCTTTACCACGGATAACTGTCTCACTAGACCACAGACAATCTGAGGTCTTGTACCAGCCAGACTCGCCATGTCGCGTCTGACAATAGATGAGGGGGGATGCCTCAAATGCAGCTCTGTTCTCATGTTAGCCTCGTGTAGGAAACGGCCCTTCCTCCTGAAACTAGTTGCCCACGTACTTCAAATGTGGCAAAGGTATTTTTGCCTTATACAAGTAATCATAGATTGTCCGCATGCGAGGTATTTCCTCACAACCTTCCTCCCGGAGTTTGGCCAGCTCGATCACCAGGTGATCCAACGACGCATCCTGAATTTGAAGTGTTCGCTTGAATAGGTTCTCGATGTTCACAAATTTCTCGTTATCCATCCTTTCCTTATAGGAAGCCCTGAGAGAGTGAAACATGACCATATCTGGCGGTGCAGTCCATAAACAGAGCGGAGATCTCGTCCACATAGGATCATTCCGATTAGGGTCGAGGACACCTCCTTCGTCGAAAAATTGCCTGATGACATATTAACTATAAGTTCGCATTTGCACATAAAAATGATACTGACGTAATCTTGCGTCTCGCGTCTGGCCCATCACTAGTAACTGTAAGTCTGGCGTATATGGCGATATACAAGTCAAACACCTTTTGTGTTTGACTGTCGGAAGGACGTTCGGGGCATGATTGCTGAATGTAACGAAGTATTTGAAGTAGGAAATCCATGTTATCGTCTTTACTGACTGAGAAGTACTCACTCAGGAAATGCCATTTTGACACAACCAGTTCGGTTGTGTCCGATTCCTCGAGTTTGAGAAAGGGAAATTGCTTAGGGTGTTCCATGTAGCGGTCGACAGGGTATCTCAAAAATTTGATAGGAAGCCAAGCTTCCTTCAACTTAAGTGAATAGTCAACGCCGCAAAGTTTCTGAGCAGGTAGATCCTCAATCTTCGATCGGAGAGCCCGATTTGTCACCAAACTTGATTTTTCGTGTAACCAGAGAGATACTCAAATAACCCCAAGAATTTCTCTGGCCGGTGCTCAAATATATACAGAAACACATCTGATAAACTGCGTTTATCTCGTGACATGAGTCTCAAACGCTCACGCATACCGATAGAATCGCAGACTCCCAGCTTGGGTGGAATAAGCTCGGCTTTTCTGGGGGGCTCTCTATATGTCTCGAGTGTAAGAAATTCACGGATAATCCCGTTGAGGCGTCTCCGACGGCCAAAAGGCTTGCAGGACTGTACGCATGGTGTGTTCCAGGGAGATATACATCTATCTCTTGCGGGCTCGCTCGCTTCCAAGCAACAGTGACGATCTCTACTTTCTTGTATTCTTCTGGCCCGTGCTTCCCGGTCTGGTGTGTGTGATAAAGAAAGCTCAAATACTCATTTATCTCATCAAACCATAAGCCCTTCTTCGAGGCGAACGATCTGAGGATCGATGCTCTCACATCTTCATATTTGGCCTGGCAGGCTCCTAGGTGTTGGAATAAGGTGCTTCTATCCGAATTACTGGATGCATGAGCAGTGATAATGTTGAGGTCTAAGGATTTGGGAATGTCGATATCCCCCGTCTTTGGGAAATACACTGGCCCAGATGTAGTCGATGTCCACGCTCCGGATCTCAGCGGGAGCAAAGGCAACAAATTCAGTCTCCGATGTATAAAAGTAGAATTTTTGAGCGATTTGAAAAGCAGGCGTGCTACAGCCGAGTGCCATTCATTGGTCGTGTTTTCTCCCTGGTACGTGGAGTTGGGACTGTGGACATCGGTTTCCAGTAAGTTGAGAAATGTTTGGATATTGAGTACATCTAGTCCGTAACCTATGAGAATGTTCACTGCCTTCTGGGAATATCTAGGCGAAAGATAAAGATCTTTAGTCGGGTCGTCGAACAAAGGATGCCTTTCTGCATCCTGGGCCTCGCCTGGAAGAAAGACAACTTCGCCTACCGCGCGCAAGTCGATTCGATTGCGGGATTTCAGAACTGGTGTTTTCTTCATCAAGCTTCGTATCTCCTGATTAAGGCCTGACCAGAATGCATCGGAACTGGTATCTGAAGAGGACGGAAGGAACATAGGCCAGCTGTAGCAGAGTGTAGGATGCTCGCAGAACTGCAGAACTGCCTGAAAGAACGCAGACGCAATCCAGCCCCGAAGGTCGAGATTCCTGCGTGATGTGGTGACGATATCCTGTCGATTGGCGTTTGTATCAAAGTCGGTGTGGATTAAAAACTAGATCGGAGTCAGTCATTGTTTTGGTGTGATGATTGATGAAGCCAACCTTGTAATCGGATCTTCTGAGAGGTAAAAATGCAAACAGGTCTTGGTTCTTCTGAGTGACAAGTGGTTCAGAGTTGTCGGTAATTGGGAAAGCCAGAACGACTTCAGCCTTGGAGGAATCATTCTTAGCCTCTTCGGTATCAGGAACCTCGCGATTGTCGCTCAGGGCCAAGTTGGTCGCCATTAGTCTTGCGATGTGATAGATTTGACTTCGCTTAGTCTCATCTCCACGAGCACCAGATGTAGTCTCCAGAGACACGCGATACTCGTCGATCTTATGCTTGCGGAAGTACTTTGATCGTTCCAGCTCACCGTTCTCACCGTAGAACTCCAAGCTGATTTGCTCAAGCTTGCGCAGGAAGAGCAAACAAGTTTCCTGTAGATCATCAAATTGCATAGAGATAATTCTCTTCAGATGTTGAAGTTCGTCTGGGTCTCCTTGGTCATGGATGTATAGGGTCGTGCGGGTCAGAGGGCTGGGGATGGCTTCGACCGGATTTACCCAGATAGGTCTGACCATGCCAATACCTGGGTCCGTCTTGTTATGCCGAAACTCGAATGAGAAATTCCCAGACTGAATATGAACTCTCGATGCTGCGATAAATACGGACTTGAAACCAATGCCTTTGGCGCCGATATATCCGTGGGAACCTGACTTGGTGCTTTGTCCAACTGCGCAAATAGCTTGTAAGTCTGGCTCTGTAAAGCCATCTTCGTTGCACTCGACGATGATCTTCTCTGGATATATCTTGAAAGAGACGAAAGGCAGCGCTTCTGCTTCACGAGCCTTGTTGAAGATGTTATCCTCCGCATTCTGAAGAAGTTCAAAGACAAACCGAGCACCACTGCCATAGATCTGCTTTGCCAATCTAGCGGATGGTTCAGTAAGTGCAATCAGAAACTTGGTCCAGATTAGTAGGCACTTACATCTTGACGGAGTGCGATACGGCGCTTTCCATCGCCAGCCAATTCTCATCAATCTCCCGACGATATTCGGCATTAAATTGTTCGATATCGTCCATCATTTGTTCGTTCAGAAACCCATACTTCCTAGTCAACCGTCGCACAATTTGCTCTGCCTCCTGTATGGTAGCCATGGTTGGCAAGTAAGGCTTATTGCCTTCGTTTTCTGTATGGGGACGTGTCGATAGCTAAGGTAAGGTACATGTACGCAGTGACTGGGTACTAGGCAGTAGATGAGGTATTTGAGAATCATTTGGGGAAGAGGAGAGGGGACAGAGCGGGACCACAAGTCTTTAAAGAAAAGCCAGTGTCGTGAGATAGCCAGCTGAGGCATCTCCTGACTCCCTTGTCTAGTGCGACGAGTTTTCTGCATGTTGGTCACAATATCCTAGCTTGCGAATTTCAGCTCACACTTCAGGTGTGTCTCCGTCGATGCAGGTCGGCGGCACATCGTGGTCGGCGCGTGAATATGAAGCAGCAATTCGGATAGTACATATTCTAGGTATCCTGTTTGTCATTAGCAGTCAATCAGATGGGCCAGCACAACCTACTCTCAAAGCGTTATCGTCTTTTTTGTATGTTTGCGCCATTCATGTTGAGAGCTAGAATACCAGGTAGGAAATGCGCTGCATGCCGTGGCGTTCTTGCCCCTGGCTCCCGCAGCGGTAAAATGGCAGTAGGGATTGGCCAAATGAGTAGAACGACCTCATCCTTGCCTGCTGAAAGAGTCCTGAAACCGTGGAACCAACAAATCGGCAAGAGGGCCGTTGTTTTCATACCTGACTCTTGTCATTTTATCAATGCGTTCTGATGGTTTTAGTATGGCAAGGTATGACTTTGAGACTGTGTGCGCCTTGGGGGGGAATACACGACCCTTGACGGGTTTCGCTTACACCAAAATTCGCTGGCAATCCACCGATTTAGGGGTCGTTCTTTATCCCGCCTAGTGTGTTTCAAGGCTAAACTTGCGCCCCCAGATATGGATGAAGCCCACTGGCATCTGCCTTATTCCATCTATGTGTCCTTCACCTAGTCCGTGCAATAACTTTAGCAGATTGACCCTGGCCAGGCTTCTCAGTTGCTCTACCAGTATGTTGCCCATGACGTCCGCACAAGCCCCTCTTGTTCAAGCTACACGATATGGATGTCTTTCATTGGCTTTCATAACGATGGAGGCCACGACAACCAAGTAATAGGAACACTGACTTACATGATAGACAGCGAGATTGGAAGGTCATTCAAGCACTGCGCCGACAGCAAAATCACAAATGTATGGATAAGTTTAGAACAATAGGCGACATTTACATAACTCATGTTGGGCAGTACATGTTGAGAGGCATGAACTCGGCGTATAAATAAATAAATCATTCTTGGTATTCTATCCATCGAAACCCGACAATAACCCAACCATAAACGCATCGTTACACAAGGATATCAAAACCCCCTTCCCAACGCCGCGCATCATCTAATCCATCTCTTCTAGTAATAAAACTCTTTAATTTCCCATTCGCATAGCGTTCACAAGTCTATGTCTCGCGCCCTCTCGACGGCCATCGCCTCGTCCGGGACTCTCAGTGTAGGAGTCCTGGCGACGTGCGTTATCATAGTAAGACTCTGTCTCTCCAAGGCCTACCTTTGAGGGACGAGGAGGTGGCGGTGGGGGAGCATGGCCTGGTGCAGTTGCCTGTTGCTGAGGGTGGTAAACTGGCTCCCAGTCACGGTTGGCCTGGTAAGGGCCGTTCTGGTAGGAGTCCTGAGTTGGGATGGGAGGTCGGCTTGCTCGCTGCTCCTCCCGCTCAGTGCGCTCGTCCCGAATATCGCGATTTCGGCGGGTTGAGTCGTTGCGGCTTGATTGAGGGGCCGGCTGTGCCTGGAGAAGACCGCCTTGAGGTGCACCGTTCTGGGGTGCTCCATTCTGAGGCGCTCCAACCTGACGACGGCTTACCTCTCTAGGCGTCTGCTCTTCGTCATCCGTTACTGCATCGTCGTCGTCATCCTCGTAGGCTCGTAATTCGCTTCGCATAGCAAGGCTGGCGCAGATGTTTCTAGCTTCCTCAATAGCCTTTTTCTGCAGTTGGAGAGCCTTGCGGCGCTCACGAGTCTCCTTGTTCTCGGCAGCGATAGCCTCGATGGTGGTATCAGGCATGCGAAGAATCTCAATAGGATTGAACAGTCGCAGCATACCAAGCAGAAGGTGTCGCTCGACGACCTGGGTAATGACATTTCGTGTAAAGATGCGTGCAGTAAGGTCGTAGTAAATAAGCATCTTCTCCAACACCTCTTCGGCCTCTGTGTAGGTTCCGCCGTTCTCAGTAGCTTCCGCACGCCACTTTCGAAGACGCTCCTCGTACTCGGGGTCAAAGGGCTGGATCTCGAGTTCCATATCGTCGGTGAGACGTCCAAGCTCAGTGTCGGCGCTTTCGACAAGATCCTTCATTCTGAGCTCGAGGAAGTGCATGCGAAGAGGATCGCGCATGCGCATGGGCCAGACGTGGTCAATAACATCCGCAAGAAACTCGTTGCAGATAACACCGACGTTGTCCTTGTATTCTTGTGCAAGAACAGGCCAGTTTCTGGAGTAGTCCTGGAAGAGGATATAGGGGGCTCGAGGGTTTGAGTCGAGGGGAAGTTCATTACCCCGGATTTGGCGAAGGAGAGGCTCAACTTCAAACTCGGCAAAGTCCTTCTTTGAGCGGTCTCCAACGGTGCCCGGAGTTGGAAGACCATTGCCTTCGGCAGCGCCATTTGTACCATTGACACCATTTGCGGCGGGAGGCTGGCTCTTCTGGAACGTAACCTTACGACCGTGCTGTCGGAACCGTCGAGCGAAGCGCTCACTCTCGTCACGAATGCGAGCTCGGAGCTTTTGTGATGGGGTACCCTTGGGGCTTGACTGTCTAGCAAAGAATCGCTCACCGAAAGGGTTCTTGTAGTTACCGTTCACCGCAGGGGTGACGAGGTTGTTGGATGCTGTGAAGAGCTCACCCATCTGGAAACGCATGTCCTCTGGGGTATCTTTGCCAACACCCATGGCCTTGAGCTGGCTCTCGCAGCCTTCCAAAGCTTGCTGGATCTGGCGGCGAAGAGTCTTGACATGCTTGCCGATATGGCGCTGAAGCTGAGTGCTCAGCTTGGCGCGGAGAGCACCAATACCCCACATCTCTGGTGGGAGAGTTGCCCATTTTCCGCGAGAGAAGAACTCGGCTTCTCTGTTGGCGCGGTCCTCGGGAGTCTGCCATTGCTCGCCTGGGCCAGGGTTGAGCAGGACATACCAGCCGAGCTTGAAGTTGTTCTCTTGGTCCTTGTTGGTAACAAGCTCGATGAACTTTTCCTCAAGACCAATACGTTCGGTCATATCGGGCTTGGTGAGGACACCGATTGTGCGTGATCCCTTGGGATCAAAGTAGCGGGCCTTCTTGAGGATAGGAGCCTGAACATAATCGTTGTTTCCGCCAATAACAGCAAGAATAATAGTTCGAGAGCTCTTCATGTATCGATCGGAGAGGGCTTCGATGGTTTGGATGTCAGACTCGGATTGATCGCGGTTGGCGACACGGACAAGACCAGGGAGATCGACCAGAGTCAAAAGTGGCATGTCGGGGCCCTCCTTCTCGACGACGAGGATATCGCGAGCGGCGAAGCGACCAGGAATGCTCTTGGGAGCGATCAACTCTGTAGCATCACGCATCATCGCATCAAAGGGTGTGTCACCGGTGACATCACCGCCCCATTGCAGCAGGCGAGCTTGGTCATTGTAGGGTCGTGTCTTGTCGGGAATGATGGAAACCTTTAATTTCGTCTCCTTCGCTCGTCGCATGCGAATCTCTGTCGCAAAGCGTGTGCAGGCGCCGGCATCGCGAGGAAACGGTGTGCCGGTGAGAGCCTCGAGAACCGAGCTCTTACCAGCGGACTGGTCGCCGACGACGACGATTTGGGGTAGTTTGACATCATCGAGCTGTGCGAACTGGAGCTTGTCGATAAGGTCTAGCAGGCTTCGTTGCTCAGTAGCAAGGCCCTGATCGCCGAGCGACGATTCAAGCGAAGGGCGCATTTTTGTATAATAGAAGCAGAATAAGAGGGGGTTGAAAAGGCAAGTTTTTGAGGTGAGGGCTTCGTCATTTATAAGTTCTGGCGCTCGGGCTTTGGTTCGCTCTTTCTTGGCTGCCTCTGTGACCGGATGGTTACGGTTGCGCAGCTGCCAAGCGTCTTTCAGGCCTGGAGGCGACCAAATGATGCCCAGCGTTCGCTAGCGTCATACCTTCCTACTGCGCCACTCTCAACAGAGACATCCCTACAAGTTCAGTGACAAAATAACTTATGAATATTTTAGCCTGGGCATTGACCAGTTTATTTTCTTCCTGATATCACCAAGTTTTACGTCGTATTATAGAGAAAGCTTCTGACATTAAGGTAACTTGCTGTAAATGAATATTCTAGAGGTCCGCCAACCGTTACCGATTATCGATGAATTAGATAGTAATGCTACCAAAGTCTCTTATTACTTAGAATCCAGCAGATCTCTTGACTTTTATTGCCTCCTCGAGAATTGACTGATGTGTGGCGTGTGGCGTATCTATCTGTGGCTGTGCATGTGAAAGTCTTGGCATACAGACTACGACGCCTTGATTACGTCGCATATGAAAGTGCTTTTCCCTCCCCTCCCTTTATTAACAGACGGCTGAGTTGAATTTTCTTTTCTTTAATTTTATGGCTTTTTTCCTGCTGCCTAGATCTTGCGTAGACTCTTACTGACTTTGAAATGGACCGACAGTCATACTCGAGATAGGTGACGTAACCAACCGCGTGTGTAACACGTCTGCTCACCCTAGACTTGTATTGGTTAGAAATGCTAATAGTTAAACCACTTGAGGCATTACAATCAGGCAGTTTTGTGTGAATTTGTGTAAGAAACTTTATCAAATATATATCCATATACATATAGAACAACTTCCGTTAGGAGTATAAGGGAATTTGAGAAAGGTACACAGTAGAGGTGAAGTGGATATCAATTCGACCATGGCCTGACGGAACCCATAACTAACCCGTCTCGAAATGTTGGATCCTTCGGGGTACAAGACTATGGGCGATCCCATTCTCGTTTACGCGTATCGTGGAAGGCTGAAAGCTCACAAGTGGCTGTGTCGACGACCAGTGAATGCGTAGATATCTGCGTCGCTTCGCCTATGTGAGGTGGCAGTGGTATCTTCTGATCGAGGCCATCCGCTCGGTTGACGTAGGCAAGAACTACCTGCTCATCTATATGCTTATGATTTTCTCTGTTGAGCAACCGGCGGATGCTGGTGGGCCGGCTGCAGTAGTCATCGTCGTCGTTATTGATGTCGTCCGCTGAAGCTATAACAAGCCTATCCAACTGCAACGAATTCAACTTCGCGAGCTCCTTAAGAAAGGAAACTCCGACTCTTGACGAGGTGAAGCACAAACTTCTTAGTGTCTCCGCGTGGCGCTGGATGAAACTGATAATCCCGGAGATCGAGGCATCCTGGAAACCATGGGCCGCGCTTATAAAGTTAAAGTAAGGACAGCCAGAAATTTTCACGAATTCCACACTCATAAGCTTGGGCAGTGTAGGAATAATAATAGGATTGAACGGAATGAAATCATTCTCGTTACATATTTTCAAGCTCGTCAAGCTTTTCGCGTTCGCAAGGCAAGCCGTAAACCCTCTGGAAGCTTGAGCCGAGTGAAATTTATCACAGAGACAGAGATCCAAGCGAACAAAATGCTCAAAAATCTTGAGCTTCACAGGCTCCTCCATTTGGAGGAGCGCTGAATAGCGACCGACATGCTCATCTGAGTAGAACAGACGGGTAATCTTGTTTGTCGGCACTTCGTCATTGGGTTGACTTGCAAGAGATTCGAGTAGCGGCATAAAGTAATCCCTAAAGCCAGTGTTGGATCTTTTATTTGTCCCAAGTCCCTGTAAAATACCTTTGAGACTGTTGATGGTCATAGGGAAATCCAAGGAGAGAATCTCAAGGCGCCGGTGGCCATCCATGGGCCTTGAGACCAGAGTATGTAGATTGGGCATGTTGCGAACAGCAGATAAAAACTCATCTGGAGATTTCGATTTCGGAATCGGACGTCGGCTGTGTTGCATCATATGCGCGCCAACGGGGTCTGGGTGCCTGGCGAAGACTGATATATCCTGGAAGCCAACCGGAAAGTGAAAAGACACGAGCTCGGCCATCTCTTTGGAGAGACTTTTGAACTTATATCCTTTCTCGTTATAAATCACCGGGGACGGATACCAAGGATGTTGGAACTTGGAAACGTCAAACGTAAGCTCTTCCCACACGAGAACTCGAACCAGCGAGGCAAGCGGAGACTCTGAGAGCTCGAAGAAGTGCCGAAGATCAGGAAGAAGAAGGGAAATTCGAACTTGATAGAAAAGAGTGCGCGAGGCTTCGGTAGACACTTGGCGGCAGGTGAGTCTAAGTGACTTGAGATCTCGCCTCGACAAGCCATGATCAAACGAGAAGACCTCGCCGAGAAGCTCCTGGGGCAGGGTAATGAGACTCATGATGATCCGTAGACTACTGATGTCGTGAGAAGCTGTCTGGAAAGGGAAGTTTTGTCCTACCTACGGGATATATAGACTGGGAAATTTTTAGTGTTTTCAGAAGGACGAGAAGGTTGATGAGTCGTGAACTTTGAAGGCTATTAGGTTTTGCAGGGCCCAATAGGAGCAGAAAGATGTCTGGGTTGATGAACTTACACAATCCATGAAATTGAAAAATGATAATATTGTGAAGATACTGCCATGGTTACTGCTGCCTTGACCTGGTGCAAGGTTTGAGTTGATCACTGAGTTAACATATGGGATGGTTGGGCCAGTGGCTTTCAAGAACCCAAGGTTCAATGAGGATGATTAGTTGCTGCCTACCAAAAGTGCAACAGAGTCACAGAAAATTGACGCGATGTAGATTTGGCCACAGTAAATACCCCATAGCCGAGAGGCCTCAGGCTCATCAAAGATGTATCACCGAAAGCTGCCTTCCATCTGGGTTCCAAGTCACTATACATCACAGCTTTGCTTTAAAACGCCATGATCGGCATGGGAGACTCCATGGAGGCGGCATCACCTGTGTCAGGGACATCGTAGTTGACAGATACCGTTGGCATGTTTGGCTCCAGCCCAGCCCAAAACCTCTCCAAGTCCTCCTGCAAGTGTTCGACTATCCAGAAGCCTGTGAGCTCCCGCCGACGTTGCATGTCGCGACGCACAATATCTCTATCACTGCCCTCAGATAGTAGGAAGCCAAGAGCGTATACAGGCCAAGTCCCCATGAAACACTCCGACCAGCGATGATCACCAGCACGTCGGGAGAGGATCTGAAGTGCTGCGCAAGCTTGCCAACTGTTTGTGGGAGACACCCTAGGAAGTCCTTTGTTTGGACCAAAGGCAATGAGGTGCTGCATGAGAATAGAAGCGATCATGGCGTATAAGCAGTTTGCATCTCTGTTCAGCGCATCATACGCATCGGTCTGTTCCACCGCCTGGAGTGCAAAGTCTTCCCATATTGTGACCTCAGCCTGAAGCTTCACCACATCCTCCATGGTTGCGGATTCTCTTCCGAGACAAAGCTGGCCGAGAAACGTGGCGAGTCGCATCACGGCTAATGGCATACCAAGGACGGGGCTATTGATACTCAGCAGGGAAAAATCGAGGCTCGTAGGATGCTCCAAGAGCTTCTCAGAGAGGGCCCAAAACTCTGAGTTCAACGACCGAAGGGACACGTAGCTATTTGCGCTGGACCAAAGACCATTATCTAATAGGAAGACCTGATACAACACACTCTCGAGTGCCAGACGGAGGAAGGTCGTAAGGTCGGTGCTTGTCGCGTTGAGTATACGGGAGCTGATGATCTTGATGGCAGCAGTGACATGCTGAGGTTGATCATCCCATGAGGAGGAGCCAGAGATGAAGTTGAATGCATACAGAAGCACAATGGTGATAAGAATGTCATCGTCCTTCTCTGGTGAGCCTTGACAGAGTGAGTCTGCCAGCCTGGACAACGAGTCGGTGTAGTACTGATGAGAGACCTGATACATGCCAGGTGGCCCTCCTCTGATAGAAACGAAGGATGTAGCGCATGCCATGAGAGCAGAAGACAGAGTCTTGCGCGACACCATGATAGTATGTATAGCTGTATACCATGTCTTGTGGAAGACAGAACTGCAATTCGGTAGTAGAAGAAGTGGTGTTCCCCGGTGGCCGAATTCGTGGAAGAGTGTCCATTCGATGTCACACCGTTCCCGTTTACGAGCCATCACGCAGTCGGCCAGCAGAAGCTGCGGCGTCGCTACAGAAAGAGATTGGTGATGAGCATCGCGAATTTGGCATGACCTGAAGCGGCGGTCGATGAGGTCTTTGTCTACAGGCCACTGACAATCGCGCGGGATTCGTGAGGCACGACACGCTCGGCAGATGGGAGTTCGCTCGTCGCACTTGATGCGGTGTTGTCGGCACGGAAGACAGCCCGTCTTGGCACGCAGCTTGGGCCGCTGGGAACCTGCTGTCATGGTGGATTATAAATCTGGAGCAATTGAGTGAAGTAAGAGGTGTTGCGACGCTGTGTTGGGATGTGTTGGGATGACCTGAAGTCGTATGTGTGTTTGTAACAGAGAGAAGACCAATGGCTGGTTCCTGAACAAGATGGAGTTGGTTATCTCTGTCACTTGACCAACTAGCCAAAGGATCGATAAGGCCCAGACTCAAGGGTCAAGTGCCTCAGCTCAAGATAAGCTATCATGGTGCATACCCGTCCCAGCCGTCCCCAAGCAAGTTTGCGGGGAAGTACACTAGTGAAGTATGAAGCTTAGAATGATACGCTTCATTCGTTCACGCTAGTTTAGTTCATGCATTTCTCGCAAATGCATATGATTGGCTCAGTAGATAGATGTCTAGAAGAACTTGGGGATGGTGGTTACGTCCATGTTAAGGGTCCAGCAGCCTCGGTAATGGTTCACTCCGCAAACCCTACGTACAGTATCGCGCAAATACGCCTGATTGGATTATCATTAATTCTCCAATCGCTGGTATTTCCGAATGGCTTCTGTTCAAGGTGTAGAGAGCCCTCTGGGGTGCGGATGTGATCGCGTACGAGTATAAAATGAAGCCTGTTCGTCACCAGTCCTCTGTCCATATTACACCAACCCTGACCTTCATTCTTCCAGCATTCAATCCCGATATAAAATTCAATAATCTGCCTACTCAATTGAACTAGCCATGCAAATCAACAACCCTGTACCCGTGCCAAAGGGCACACCAGAGCACGAGGCCAAGCGTGCTGCTGTTCTGAAAGCACTCGCCGACAAAGTACCCTCTGAGTTCTGTCTAGGTCCCGAATTCTTTAAAGACACCCCTCTCAATGTCACCAAGATTCCTTCTACCTGTGGTATACTCACGGACGAAGAAGTAGCCATTACAGAGGACTATGATGCGACTGGCCTTGCTGAGGCTATCGCCAGACGCAAGTATACGTCCGTGGATGTTGCGAGGGCCTTTTGCAAGCGTGCAATTATCGCCCATCAGCTTACATGCTGTCTTACCCAATGGTTTTATGATGAGGCTATCCAGCAAGCTACAAAGCTGGATGAGTATCTAGCAGAGCATGGCACAACCATAGGACCGCTCCATGGTGTCCCCGTCAGTATCAAGGATCATATTCCCTTAGCTGGCACGTTCGCGTCGTTGGGTATTCTCTTTACGGCGGAGTTTGATCAGAAGGACTCTCCCCTTCCAGCTGCCCTTCGCAAAGCCGGCGCTGTCTTTTACTGTAAGACAAACCAACCTCAGGCCCTCATGCACGGCGAAAGTGACTCACCTTGGGGCCGCGCCTTGAACCCGCACAACACCACTTTGACATCTGGAGGTTCCAGTGGTGGCGAGGGAGCCTTGATTGCTATGAAGGGCTCAGTGCTTGGAATTGGAACCGACATTGGTGGCAGCATCAGGATCCCTGCTGCGTTTAGCGGCATCTATGGGTACAAGCCAACAAGTGGCATTCTGACAACGAGGAATTTGGTACACGGGCCTATGATAGCTGAACTCACTGTCTTGGCCAATGCCGGTCCCATGTGTCGGTCTGCACGGGATATGGATCTATTCATGCGTATTCAACTTGCTGTTAAGCCTCATATCAGAGACCTGACCTTGGTACCTACAACTTGGACTGGCTTGTCAACTCAGCTGGGCATGACCCTTGGCCGCCCGCTCAAAGTTGGTATCATGACACACGACGGTTTCATCCAACCTCAACCACCTCTCAAGCGTGCCCTGTCGTGGGCTAATACCCTTCTGTCAGAGTCTCGCCTATCAGGACTTATCGAAGTCAAGCCATTTCTACCTTATGGCGTGAAAGAGGCCTGGGACGAAATCAGGCAGGCATACTCTCCTGATGGCGGCATTCCAAGTCGTGATGCCATCCTTGCAACAGGCGAGTCAATCTATCCTCTGACCGAATGGATTTGGAAAACCGCCGCGCCCAAGGGAATGCTGACTGCCGGTGAAATGACCTATGTACGCAAAGCATGCCTCGACTTCCGACATGCCTTCGCAGAGGATTGGGAGCGCCAGGATGTCGATGTTATCCTTTGTCCCACTGGCGTTGGTCCGGCTACAACTCACGACACAAATTTCTATCTTATGTATACAGCTCTGTGGAACTATCTCGACTGCCCTGGCTTGGTGTTCCCTACGGGGCTCAAGGTTGAGGAGGGTGAAAAGTACGACGCGGATTATAAGCCTCTGGGATCTGAGTGCGCTCATGTGAAGGAGCTTTGGGAGAGCGGGAACTTTACAGGAGCTCCCGTCAACCTTCAGCTCGTGGGGAGGAGATATCATGACAATCAGCTGTTTGGAGCTTTGAAGCTCCTCCAAGGCGCTCTTGGACTCGAATGAGTGTTTCAAGGAGGATACAGACATGGTGGATATCTTTTCAAATGCTTGGTATTGTGGTGTTGCAAGGGGGTTAGATGATCAGTTTACAGCTGGAAATATCCCCAGGGAGCCTTCCTAAGATCCCGGACGAAGACGTTAGAGATAACCTGATATACTAGTTTGACTAATTTCATACTGTTCAGAATACAATACTCTGCCGAACATCTGTGTCTGATAATGTGCTGGGGCTAAGGTTGTCGTGACCTTTATTCGCCGACTCACTTTCGGACATCACATTGATTTTAGAAGTGTACTCTTTGACGGTGAAAATCGCTGTTGCTGACCAAAACATACGGTCGCAATAATATGATATTCATGAACGATCGTCCTGATAGCGCTAACAAGTATCGAGACCAAACAAGTCTCTCCCTTTCAACATAGTAACCGTTTAAACAACCTCGCGGGTCTGCACTTGAGTCTGCTGCTCGTCTGACTTTTCTGCCTTTGAGTCTCCAAAGTGGATCTGCTTCTCGACAGCAGCAACGGTCCTCTCCTTGAGTTCCTCGTCCTCGAAAACTATGATCTGTTAGAATTTCCCAACTAAAGCAATGGGGGCGAGACAACATACGGAATGCAAGTTCCTCGAGGGTTCGGCCACTGGTCTCGGGGTAGAGAAGGTAGATGATGCAGAACTCGAAGAAGATCCAACCACAGTAGATGGCCAGGTATCGCCACTTGATGGCATCGAGAGCAATCGAGTTGACGTTGGTGGAGAAGAAACCGGCGAGCTTTCCGAAGATCTGCTGAACACCGATACCACGGCTTCGCATCGCGTAGGGCCAAAGTTCAACCAGGTAGGCTGCGAATTGTTAGACTGGACTTGAGAATGTTGGCTGATGACTTACTGTATGTGAGAGCGTTGTTTCCGATGGCGTAGGTTGGCGAGTAAGCAAAGTACCAAAACAGAGCGGAAATACCAGGAGCATTATTTTTCACGCCCTCCGGGATAGCTTGAATTCTCTCAAGAGATACGGTCATGCCGATGAAAGCACACAGCATGAGAGTAGCGGAAAGCATGTACATGTGTCGACGCTTGAAGCGAGTGACGATCAAAGCAATGATGGTAGCATTGAGGAAACTCCAGCAAGCATAGGCGAGGTTGATTCGAGTCTTTGTGTAGTCGTCGGTGTAGCCCATCATGCCGAAAAGAACACCGGAATAGTAGCTCAGAAGAGTGTTGCCGGAAAGCTGGGTGAAGAGACCGATGAAGATGGTGACAACGAATCGACGGCGCATACCGGCGGTGCGGACAACCTCGAGCCAGGACTGCTTGGAGGCTTCCATCTCAGCCTTGATGGTCTCTCGGATCTGAACGATTTCGGCCTGGACGAGCTGGGAGCTGGCATCGCCCTCGGCGTGGTACTTGATAAGGACCTGGGCGGCTTCTTCTTCGCGGTCATTGGAGACGAGGAAACGAGGAGACTCGGGGAGGAGAAAGACGGTGGAAATCTGGATGAGCGAGGGGACGATCTGCAGAAGAGATGGCAGACGCCATGACCAGTTGGTGGTGATGGGAGTAGTGCCCAGAGCGATAGCAGAGGCGAGAATCTGACCGATGTAGTAGGACGAGTTGAACAGAGATGTGAGGACAGCACGCTCCTTGGGATACCCCAGCTCACCGATGAGGGCGGCACCAGAGATAATACAGAAGAGAATTCCAGCCCCAAGAATCATACGGGCAACGATGTACATGCCAACTGAGGAATGGTCAGTAAATCGAATTTTGGATGGAACTGAGGTATCATACCGTGCTGGGCGAATCCCTGGATGATAGCACCGCCAACCATGATGAGAGAACCAAGCATAATCGACCATCTTCGACCGAATCGCTGAGCGAACCAAGGCGCAAATGGGACCGCAAAGATAGAGCCGAGCTGGTAAGAAGAGTTGACAAAGCCGAGCAGACCAGGCTCGATGGCCCACTTGCCTTCGGCGTTCTTTCGTCCGTCACCGAGATCTATAAAAACCCGTCAGCTCTGAACCAATTTTCCCAAGATTTGTAGGTGATTCGTACAGTGGTGGAAGTTCTGAGAGTACTGCAGCGTGTTGATGAGTTGCGAATCGAAACCAGAAGTCATCTCAACACCCATACAGCAGAAGAACAACCAGACGTACATGATACGCAGATTGGGCTTCTTGTACCATGGCACCTTGTCCTCCTCGACGAGGCGAGTGACGACGGGGTCCGCGGCGCTACCAACGTTGACCATGTTGGCGAATTGGCTCTTCTAAGCTTGTCGAGTGAGTACTATGCAAGGGCCCGTCTTCAGAGTAAAAGAGGAAACCAAGCTTGAGAGGATGGGAAACAAAAAAGAGAATTTCAATGGGGCACTGCAGATCATATTATACATGAACTTCTCCTCTTCCCCCCGCGTACGTGTAGATAAGATAGAGACAGACAGTATGAACCTAGCGGTAGCTTAACCGAATTCTCCGTATATAGGCTAATTATGGAGTTGTCTGGGGAAACGTGGAGTCTCCGCAAAATACTTGGTTTCGACCGCTGTCGATGTTGCATCACGACGTGACATTCCCGTCAGCGGCCGACCACACAGTCACAGACGATTCGCTCGCATGCACTCCAACCCCGGCCTAGCTCAGGTTGACAGTCCCCCAGAATTGAAAACGGATTCTCGAGCCGAGGTGCTGCTCTCGGTCCAACTCTTGCGGTTAAACGGACCGGCTGATGGTGGTGCTAGCTTATGCTTAAAGCGCTGATCGTTTTCTATCTTTGTATTAGACATATGCCAGATCTAAAACCACATGACATGCTACCGTAAAGTTTTGCGGGGTCAGACATACGAGCGAGCCTGAACGAGCAGCCTGGCATTTTTGGGGTAGAACCATGGGGTTTTGGGTGGGGGGCGGTTCTGCAATTTCCCGTCCATTTGAGTGAAGTGATGCCTGAGTTATGGAGACTAGGGTGTAGACTGACTGGCTGAGACTTGAATCATGTTATTCCTGACTAACTCTGAGACTGGGCTGATGATAAACACGGTAAACAGCCTCGGCAAGTGAATATAGCCAGCCATTCAGCGTCGTCTATATGTCAGCCGCGTTTTCACCTCATCTCACCCACAATCCCTTTCCCCAGACTTTATGGAATAATTCTCGAAGATGAAAATAAGCATAAGCTTCAAACACAAGATGTTGGTTTCATTTCTCATCTGACATTTTGGAGAAAGAGGGTTGCACCGGGATTGTCAATCCCCTGGTCCTTCAGCTCATCAACCCGTTCACCTGGAACCGGCTTTTCAGGCTAAAACACCCGGAGAATGCGAGAAACCATTAGGTATTTAAAGCTTGGCAGCCGCTGCAAAAAACGAAAAGCACAATGGGAGGGTTGACAGTGAGCCCTCCCAAATGCGTGGGGGAAACCGGTGTGCGCACGCGGGTATACAAACAGTGTCGCTCTGCCATTTCCGGATGAATCCTTCCAAGCATCCTCTTGATTTGAATATGCTTATGTTTTATGTCTATTGAACAAAGACTGCGGGGCGAAAGGGTGATGGTGAACCGCCCGGATGAGTCGTCCGAGCCAATGGATGGTGAGATGTTGCAATAGGGCTGTCACTGCGAGGTCATCACTGGGCTTGACAAAAATCCCTTCTTCCGTGTGTGATGCATCGATAATGGCAAAAGAAGATGAAATTGCATGCCAGTTGGGGGATAAAGTTGTCGGGTGACGAGCTTGGCAAATGTCGATGAGACGATTAGGAAGAGGCCGAGACTGGGGAACTGCAATTGACTGGGTAATAGAGAGATCTGCAGTTGTTTATGCATTCGTTGGCTTGTAGGGTAACATTTAGAGATCATGTTCTGGCTAAGGCTGATGTTTTGGAGGGTGTGATCAAACTTGGTTGCTAGGTGGGGACCAACGGTCGGAGTATATAACCACTAAGAGTTTTGCGGCTACTATACTTAGGGCGTGTGGTCTAGGGGTATGATGTTCGCTTCGCATCTTCGTGCATCTGCGAAAGGTCGAGGGTTCAATTCCCTCCTCGTCCAACCTTTTGCTTTTTGCTTATTCCAGTTCACATCAACATCTGTCTCACCAGATGGGGGGTTTTGTATTATTTCCACCTTGACCTGTTCTGCGCTTTTCTTCACCTCTGGGCTAAATAAGAGTATATGGGCTGGGACTTGTCTTAGAAGCTAATTTGAATAGGTATGCAATGTGTCTAAATCTCAGCACCTCTTCTTCTACAGCGCTTGTCGCAAACACTCCATAAACCATTCTTGGCAGACTGCCCTTAAAACTCAACGGTGCAGTCAAAAGCCGCTATTGTCAGCTGTCTGTTCTTAGGTCTGATAACACTCGGAATTCTATTGACATCATGCGGTGCAAGGACTTCAAGGTGGATATGACGCCGTAGGATTCTTCCTGATAGATACATTTAAATCCTCCTCAAGCCTAACGCTTGGCAGACCTCATCTCTCACCTGATAGAAGGGCCATCCCCTTGTTATGAGCTTACAAATCTATAGTCCAATCTCCCTTTACCCTAATATCTATAGACTGGTCAAAGAATCTTAGAATCCTGTCGGAATCAGCCCTACATATCCTATCTGCGTGCAACATTTCCTTCTCAATGAACGTTAGGAACTCTCTAAGGAAAGTCGGCCCATTCTGATAACGTATTTCATTCACGAGCTTTGCAATCCACTTTGGGTTTTAGTTGATGAAGATGAAAATCACAAATTTTGTAGTGCAAGTTACGCACCTGTGACACGCTGGGCTTGAGCCTTGGTATCTGCTTGAAGTGTTTGGAGCCGACAGGGGAATTTGCTTGATCCAAGCTTGCTTTCTCTTTTCTTACAGCCCGGGTTTGCTTAACGTATCCAAACTTCGGATTGGCTTGGAGAAGCCGACGAAAGGTCTTCGCCCTGTTTATCTCAATATGTCTCTGGAAAAAGTTATCCTCGACATCGTTTTCGCCATCCTGGACGTAGTTCCAGTCTCCTGAGAATAAGGCATCTTGCTTTCTCGCTTGACGAAACTCTTCACGTCCTTCATATTTGAGAAGCATCCACGTGAGCAACTCGGAGAAAATACAACCCAGTGCCCAGATATCGACCTTCCTTGATATGATGTAACCGATATCGTGTTCAGGTGAGCGGTATTGTTGAGAGCACCTGTAGGCAGAACCGCGGCTCTTTCGCGTTCTCGAAGATGCACTATGAAACTCGGCGAGGCCAAAATCTGCAATTTTGAGAACACCGAGTGCGTGCTTGGCTGTTTCCTGAGAGAAGTAGAGAATGTTGGCTGGTTTGATATCAAGGTGTATTCCAAAGCTTCTGTCTTTGCCACTGGAGGTTTCGTCCATCCTAGGAACGACGTTGACTTGATGGATTGCCCCAAGAGCTTCGACCAAGCCACGGCATTGTGATGTAACCCATTGAACAAAGTCTCTTGGCGACAACTGCAGGGAAGTGAAGAGGTCCTTTGACGATTCGTTCATCAAGTCGCTCAAGGTGCCCCCCTCAGCCCACGGGAATAAAAGCATAAACTGATCTTTTCCTGATATCTCGAATGCAGATACGAGCTCAACCAGATTTGGTCCGGGATGGACCTTGCGAAAGGCGACCAACTCCTGCTTGAAAATATCTCGGGTGTGTTGTTTGGCTGGCAGTACAGTCTTCAATGCAAAATCCTTATATTTAGTCTGCTGTACGTCAGTTTACCCTGTTTATTGGTTTGGTGTCTCATCACCATCAACTTACAAATGAATGGTGGTCTTTGTGTATCGTGACCTTTTGAACATATCCATACCCTCCAGTGATGATGTTTTGCCCAGCAGATTCCCACGGCATAATGGTATCCGAATCAAACACTAGATCACCATAGATCTGATCGAAGTCCCTCTCAAAAATGGGGATGTTCACGCACCACTGTTTGAGGCTAAAGTCGCGTATCACCTTGATGTCCCGGAGGCTTCTGGTAAGCAAGACGGATCGCTGATCGCCTGGCCAGCGAGATCGCAATGCCGACTCTTCAATATTATTTGCGAATGGCAAGTCTTCGTCGAAAAACGGCGCATTTTGGAAGGGCTTGATTAACTCGATGCGACTTATGAGTACTAAAGCAGCAAATATCTTTTTGGCGGGCTTTGTTCGGTCACATATATATGATGTGACTTGCCTAGCCTCGTCCCTGTCGAAGTATCTAGAAAGCTCAGTAGAAACAGTCAATTCGGTGCAAATTGACTCGAGGGAACCGGCTGGGAGAAATTTCTCTTGCTGACGAATCCCATTTGGCAGCAACGCATATTCGAGACGGTCCTTCAGCGTGGCACCTATAGACTCATCAGCTCCTGAATCCTGTGTCATCACTGCCGCTAACTTCAAACCACTGATTGCATCAGTGTGTGATTTGTTCGATAGGGGATCCAAGCTGTGATCTTATATCGAGACTTCTGGTCTTACGGCAGTGAAGTGTCGGTCACAAGAACCCCATAGATGGTTCTATCGCTTAGGAACCATACAATGGCGCCTCTGTTAAGCCGTGGAACTCGAGGATGTCACAATCTACCTACCACGGACATGTAGGACACGGACAGCGTGCAACCTCGTTCAGAAGAAAAGGGCTGACCGGAAGACTTCGGCCACCCAAGCTTATGAATTTTCTGGGTGATACACCGCATAAACAAGCTGTTACATTTGGTCGCCCAAGCAGTATGTCACCTACTCGTAGGGACTTTACTCACATAATCAAAGACCAATTCCTTCGTGAGACGAGGGCTGTGACACGAAGGCTGAGAGCGACACTGATAGCTGGGGACAGCGAGGTTCGTGAATATGATACCGGAATTTCCGTATCACCCCAAAGATCCTGATGAGCTATGGTGTCACGTCTCCCAGTGGATCGAGCTGCCAGCATTCGGCTTCAGTGTAGCTTATAACCCGCCCTCGGACAAACATGGGAGCCATCAAATTTGCCCAGGAGCATCGCCACGGAGTCGAAAACTCCGAGCTGGTCCTGCGATACCCTTCTGCCAATATGTCATGGATCACGAGAAGATCGGAGCTTCATACGCATGACTGGGGCTTGCTCGAGCTTTCACCACGACCCAGCGAAGCATTCAAAATTTCGAAGCCATTCAAGGCTCCTCATTCGAATAACTTTTGTTCTCTCACCTCTAACAATGGGCCCAATCGGCAAGCAAATCGGCGGCACCTCACGAATGAGGATGATATTCGCCAATGGTTAGATGTGAGCAATCCATGCTCTATCAAGCGATATTTACTGAAACCCTTTGAGAGTATCGACCCCGTTGGACAACAGAAGGAAGCTTCATGCATAAACTTGATCATGGCCTCAAAAACCGACTCACTTGATGAGCTCCCGTTCACTCAGACGGGATTCGAGACCATAATGAACAAGCTCAAGGTTCATGGGTCTATCGTGAGAGCTATCAACCGCAATACAAGCTGCGCTTTCGTTACTATCCCATTTACATGGAAGTTTACGAATACGACCATCCCTTCTATCAGTGAGTCGTTTTGCCAGACTTCATACATGTGATTCTCACTTTGCTCTAGTATACAACTGCCGAACCTCCGTTTCTTGGGATGGGGATATGGCCCTCTCTGTGACACTCTTTCCCGGAACCCTGACAACTAACGCCGTTTGGTATGGATGCGATCTGTCGAAGCGCAAGTTTCACGGAGATCTGATCTCAGACTCTGAGCTTATTTGCGGTCAACTGGAAAACTTTGACGGAGACGTACTGCATCCCATGATTCTTCCAGTGGTATTCGCAGGATTCGAGAGGGAGAGGCACATCGGTACAGTGAGGAAGTGTCTGACGCAGTTTGTTCAGCGGATTCATGACCTAGCCTCCCCGGACCTACAAGCATTGGACAAGGGCGAAAGCTCTTCGAACAACAAGGAGAGTAAGTCCAGATGTGGCTTGCCATTGGCCAAGCAAGGATGCTTAGCGTCGTACTTTCGGCTGGTATCAAGTCTCATTCACTCAAAGGCTGCCAAGACTGTTCCCCCGCCAAAGACAAACTCGCATCAGAGAGAAGAAGAGCAAGAGCCTGCCGTGCTTTTGTGGCAAAACATTAGCTTTCTGAGAATTGGGCTCCAGAACTGGCAGACCCAACTCGGCAAGATGATTGATCAAATTCATCAACTCAACGAAACTGATTATGGCGTTCAACTTGCCGACAAAGACCCCAAGAACCAGAGCAGATCTATTTGCCTCCGAGAGGTGGGCGATAGACTGGAGACAAGGATTCAGGACCTCGTTGAGGAATATGACCAGTACATCAGACAATGTACACACATTATGGATGGTCTGACTTTGGCAACACAACTGGTATGTACTAGAATAGTATACAATCCTTCCTCTGGAGTTAAACTGAGATAGGAACTGAACAACATTGGCCGCAAAGACGCAAGAACCAACCAGAAAATCTCTCGCGTGAGTCTGGAGGTTGCGCAAATGACTCGCCTTGACGGTAGTCTGATGAAGTCTATTGCAATGCTGGGCATGGTTTTCCTTCCTGCAACCTTTGTCTCTGTAAGTTCGCTCACTCTTTGGCCGTCAATCCCTAACAGCCGCAGACGTTCTTCTCCATGGGCTTTTTTCAGTGGACTGGCGAAGGTGGCGAGCGAAATGAGATATTGTCGCCCTATTTCTGGATATATGTCGTTGTCGCTATTGGCTTGACTATCTTTACTATGTCCATCTTTTATATCTGTACCTTGAGAGCAACCTTGTCCATAGTCGGTGATGATCGAGATCTTGCTTGATTTATTGCAGGAAGGAGTTGAGAGCAGTGAGAATATCTTTGAGATAGTAATGACAGACTATAGATTTTATACTCTACATTGCTAGTTGTTGCATAGCGTTAGATACAAAGAATTTTTATCTTCTTTTAAAACTAAAAGTACAACAAGTTTTCTCTATCTTTCATGAACACAAAAAGCATAATCGTTCTTCTGTAATATTTCATTTAGCTGTTTAATTTATAGGAGGGAGAAAGGCATATTACCTTCATGATGACCACCACTTGTATCGTCTAAGAATCAATCCGCCACATGCCCAGTACTTGATATTACCTACTTCAAGGTACCTAGGTAGTCAACATATCCAGAGCAGAAGGCATCAGTCACTATGCATTCCCAGACTGTTCAAGAGAATGTTCAGAATGTCCAGATTGCGAATTAGCATTGAACAGAATTGGCAGAGGGATTTGACAAGTATTCACAGAGGGAATGAAGATAGATTCAGAGGAAATCGACATGGATTCATGAAGAGAATTGACCCGGATTCATGAAGGGGATTGACATGGATTCAGAGGTATTTGATATGGACTCAGAGGGAATTGACACGGATTCAGAGGGAATTGACATGGATTCAGGGCTCGAAGTAATGTTTCGACAACATTCACAGAGAGCTTTCAAGAGCTTTCAAAGGGCATATAAGCTTCCACGCAAGCAACAACTAAGAGCACCAAGCCAGCAATCTCCGACTACAATCCCACTGTCTGCGACAACTCGAAAGTTCCTTCGCAGCGCTCCTTGTTGAGCAAACTCTAAGTCTTTTCTAATCATCACATAGCACCCATTACGACATCACTTTGCAAAACGAAGCTCCTTTTCAGCATGATCCAGCAATTTCTATCTCTCGAATATGGAAACAAGAAGAGGCTCAAGGAAAAGCTTGACGATTACTTTGGAATTGACAACTATGAGGTAGTTGAGGTAGAGTTCAAACTATGCAGTTTCATGGGTAATTCTGACCATTATAGCGGCCTGGCAACCAATGGCAAATCATGGTACCCAGAAAACTAGAGGAGGTTGGTGGTTCGGATTCTTCTATGATCAGTGAATTGATACTAATCGTGCGACGTTCAGACCGAAGTCGAAGAAATCCAGGAACACATGAAACAACACTACAAGTTTACGACCTAGCACCTCTCTGAAAAGGGGACGGACATGGCAGTGAGTCGCCATTGGAAATCATGGATCACAGCGCACACAGGTCAAGTCATCACAGGACAGCCATGAGGAACTGTTCTAAATCAATGTCAAGATCCAGTCCTCATTTAGAGCATGAGCTAGCTTTTGGGTAGCATAAAGGTTCTACACAATACACAAAGAAACAAAGTCCAAACATTCAACGGTTCTAGACGCAATTGACAGCCTGATAATGCTAGAAGACTTGAAAGCCACTGGGCTTGAATGTGATACGCTGAAGGACCAACTCGAATATGCATTGCTACTGAATGGAATCAACTAACAGGAGCAGTTTCTTCCAATCGGCTCTCTTCACTCCATTTCCTTATTGAGGACAACTTCTTCGAGAGGCATATCGAGATAATTGGATGGAACCGGAGGACTGAAGTTACAAGAAAAGCAGAAGCAAACATTCTGGAATCGAATTCTTCCACCACCTATTCCAACAAGATCGATAAGACTCAGACACCTAGACTGAAGTCAAGTGTAACACAGGTACGTAAATCGTGCGTTATTCAACTTGGGTTGTGTCTCATCTAACTGCTTCAAGTGGATTATAAAACTTGGATATGAAGTATGTCGCAAGAACAGACCAGCGTTTCTTATATGGCTTCTAGAATTCATCAAAGATGAGATGTTGTACCCAGAGAGGAAGGGTAGGGCTGATTGTGAGAGGATCCTGGACTATTTTGATAAGTTTGTAGATCACAGGGTATCCAGAAACTGGGGAATCAATTTATAAAATTATCAAAAGTATTAAAATACCTATTAACTTTGAATTCACTAGTAATAATACTGGTAGCGAAATTATAAAGGTGGAGGGTTAAAGATAGAGATAATATCATTAATGAAAATTACCTATAATCACCTAAATACCACAGATCTAAGTATTGTCGATCCCGTTGTTTTCATCCAGATAAATCTGTCGGTAAGACACTCGACCTTTCATCTGGCTCCACCAAGTAAGTAGATTTGCGTGAGCGTCTAAAAGGGTAGGCCAAACTCCATCTTGCAGATAGTGCATATACGGGACGTAAAAAAAGTCAACCAGGGTCACAGTCTATGTATGTATGTATGTTAGTTGCTCTGTTGCAAGACTCGAATTGCAACAATACTAACCTCGCCAGCCATGAAAGGCTGTGTGCTGAGCTTTTGGTCAAGGAGTCTCAGAACTCGTTCAAGTTTCACTTTAAGATCCTGGACTACCTGCTCCTTGGGCTCTTGATTCATGAATTGCCTGCCAGGAGCTGTTAGCTTCCATTCTTACCGTCGCCTCGGTAGGGCTACTCACGATTTGAAGTAGGCTTCGAAGGCCAGTGGGTTTGCAACAGCATCGAAAGAGGTCAATTCGATGGATGCAGCTTCTTCAAACTTGGCCTTTGCAACTTCACCATCGGGTATGAGTTTCTTGTCCAGTCCACCATATTGATCTGCGAGATATCGAGCAATAGCGCGTGACTCGGTCAGGACAAGAACTGGATCATGCGAGTGGTCCCGAAGGCATGGGACAGCTCCGAAAGGGTTGATCTCAAGGAACTCCGGCTTCTAATACAGTTGCACAAATCATTAAATCGCCTGTTTGTAGAGAGAACATCCCCTTACGTACCTGCTGCTCACGTTTGATAATATCCACCTCATGAATGTCGGTGATGTCAAGACCCAGCTCAAGAATTACCAATTGCAGTCTTTGAGGGCAAGGGAACCGGCTATCGGTATAAAGTGTCAATTGAGACATTTTCGTAGCAATGAGCAACGTAGTAATGAGATGAGATGAATGGGATTTTTTGACGGGATTAATACCTAGATTTTAGGAAGCCTATTAACTATTTAAGTAGACGATTCTTGAAGAACCCACTTCAACATAAATCGGTCTGAAAAACGGGTCTGTTGAAGGCATCATCGACGCGTAGACTTCAAATCTCCAACTCCTCATAGTTGAGGGGCTCTACCCGCAATTTCAGGCGCCATACACACGTACGCAACTAGTAGTCGTCAAAAGTACCGCACCTAGTGTCTCAAGCACACGTAAACCAATGAAAGCCTGGGGTAATTGGGGTTTCAGTTATTTGGCATTGAATGCAAGACTTCAGCCGAGCTTGGCTATTATCATCTCAAAACAAGACGATATCGGTGAATGACTCAATTGCTCCCCCCCCCTTTATAGGCAGCCGGGTACACGACGCACTCAACGATAAGTATCAACATTAAATGACACACTTGGCTCATGAATTAAAGCTTTTAACTGAACAATGGCATGGTGTTGAGAAGCCGTGGTGCTGACTTGTAGCCACGATTGGGGCGGCATAGAAGCAACCTTTTTAATCCCTTAGTAAATGCATTTAACGTTCTCTTTCTATGATAATAATAAAGTTTATTAAATAATCTTCAAAACTTCTTTTTAGTGATCACATAAGTGCGTAGTCAGATATACAAATCTATATGTATTTATAAGAAGCTGTGAGCCAGATATTATTTTGAGTTGAGACTTGTGACTGAGAGCCCTTTTCAGCACAGAAAACTTAGTGGTTAAAGGGCTTATATCACCACACAGAACGTACAATGATAGAGGAGGCTTACGGCATCGAAACTAGTTTCTTTATAATACTACATAAACTGGTCCTCGGAAGGGAATTTAAACCAAGTCCTTAGAAATATATTCCAGTTTCATCACCTGTGTAAGATTGGAGTCAGTGAATGCAAGTCAGAAAAAGTTTGCTCTTCACTGTTCCCAGGTTCGATTTGTCACTGACAACAAGTTCGTGCATGACTCTCATTCAAGGCCTATACTTCACTTTAGTCACTGAATATACAAGTATGACCTACCCGTCCTTGAATAATTAAATGTCTTCCCGCTGTGAACCGGCCTTGAGAATTCCTACATAATCAAGCCAATGGCCGAGGAAAAACCAAGGAGATTACCTATTGAGAGATCATCGACAACATCCTCATACAACTTCAACTTTCTGCAACCATAAAAAATGAGCGAACCGCAAAGAAACCCTCTGAAACACGCCAGGAAACAGAAACAAGCCGACTTGGAACACTTAAACTAGCCGACTGTGGCCTTATGGAGTTCCACAGTCTGGCTTCCAGATCCAGGCAGAGTGCCACGGGTTGTTCTGCAGGCCCCCGAATCTATCGTCCGCCCGAGTACGATTTTAAACATACTATATCAAGAAAAGTCGACGTATGGGCCATGCGCTGTGTCTTTTCAGAATTTCTCACCTGGGCTATTCTCCCACATGGATCGGTTGACGAATACCGACTCGCAAGAGCACAAGATCCATCTGTCGCAAGTGACAAAGAGAAAAATATGAGGAACTGCGAAAGCAACTTCTTCCAACACCACCGTGAGTATGAATATACTAGCGGAGAGACGACATCGATCTCCGAACTAGACACACAAACAGACCGGTTATCCTTACACGTCCGGGGGCGGCGGATAAACAGCAACACTTGCAGGCTGGACACTAATAAGATCCGTACAGTGGAAATTCCCATGCTGAAGCCAAGCGTATCTCAGGTATGTTTTTAGAAGTTTTGAGGGGTCAAATCAACTAACATTTGAGATGAGTGGATTGCAAAGCTTATCTCGCAGGCACAGCACGAGACGACGTCAGGTGCTGTTGTAAAATTTCTGGCATTTGTTGAAGAGGAAATGATGCAGCCTGAGAGGGTCCGAAGAGCTGACTGCCGACGGGTCCTTGAATTCTTCCATGAGAATACGGCTTGGGCATTCCAGAGCAAAGAGTCTTCATGATGAAGCAAGAATGGGTTTGGGGCCTAAATAGTGAAGCCAAGTTTTGTTTTTACTGTGGTCCATAGCATAGTACCATTCTGTCTAGTGACTTGGTGCAGAAAGATGTGATCGCATCATCAGAAAAAGGGCTTTATGTATTATTAATAAAGCATTGAATCTTCAAGCTGAGAGAAGAAAGTGAAAGCCTATCATAGCCATTAGTCCTGTTCACGTTGACACATCTGAATCTAGTACATACCGAAGAGTCAAGATCCAGCCAGTCAGTGGGCTGCCACTGACTCAATGGATTCATAATAGATTGTAACCCCGAACTTGTTTCATCCTGATCATCAAACATGGACCCCAACTCATCTATACTCGTACCCGACTCATGTTCGCTCGAAATGAGTGACTCCTGCTGACACTGAATTGTCTGTGATGGCCTTGTAGCATGCTGTGGTCCTTGTCTTGCTTCCTGTCGTAGTTCCTCAATGATGATGCTGTATCTTCGACTAGCAGACTCAGCAGCGATAGTTCTCGCGAGATGATTCTGGCATTTTTCTGCGAGGTCGAAGAGAAGTGCGTTTCCAGGATCAGCTGTTGTGTTGCTCCTTTGTTGAATGTCCCATACATACACCACCGCTAATGCGCAGAAGGTTACGTAGGGCATCCACCATAGAGCATGGAATAAGACTGATTTCTCGGAAAACATACCGTCGACGATTTCTAGTGCGAGTTTTGCTGCGCTTATACACTGTGTCACGCAAGCTTTTAACGCAGGACTGCAATCTTCTGAGTGATCCAGAAGGAAAGGCCGGGTTGTATGCATTACAGCGTGGCAGTACGCAAGCTTCAGAGCGGTGGCTTGCCGAGAAAAGATCGGGATGAGGCTGGAGGGACGAACGGTGCCGAGATGTGGAGGGAGAGCTTGACGCCATTCGTGGAGTTGTTGAATGAAACCTTGTGCTGCGGCAAGACGTTCCTCTGGTGGCATCTTCTTGAGTGAATAGACCTGCCGTGATACATTTTCGATGATAATAGCAATCCTGATGGTTTGTAAGTAACGATAGACGTATCTTATTGGGGTTGCCTTGCCTCGCGTGAAATATTAATGAGTCAACATGGCAGTCCATGGCAGGCTCCAATGGTGACGGTCCTTGTGGTGTCATGTCCTCATCGTTGACACTATCAGGGAGCTCTTGGTCGACATCGTTGTCGTGATAAAATCTCGGTCTACCGAACACGACAGCCAGATACTTATCAATGGTATACAGAACCCAGAACGTTCTTTTCCGGCACTCAGATATGATGTAATCGGTAGGCTGTCGACCTCCGTTCCGATACTGAGTCGACTTCCGATGCAGACCGAGCGCCGTAACGATAGGCACAGTATTTCCAAAGACATACCAAGCTTGGTTCATCCGAGACGTTTGCAAGAGATAAAGAACCTGCAAAACTCGCGCCTGGGCTGATTCAAGGCGAGGAAGGCCGGTCTCTTGGGCAGTGAGCTCAGATGCCTGGAGAAAGTACTGTTCGCTCTGCTGTGACATAATAGACATGCCACCGGGAAGTGAAGCCTGTTCCGTGATTCTGTGTTGTCGAAAACTCGCAATGGCAAGAATATTAACCACTATCGCGGCTTTTGCATGGCCAATTCCCGTGTCCAACGGCTGTCCGTTATGAACATTGTTGATGACAGCTTCAAACCATACCTGACAGTATTGTCTGTTCAGAACACGGTATGTAACAACACAGTTCTCGAAGTAGTAGTTGAACAGCTCAAAGGCCTCCGGCTGATTGACAAACATCAAGCTCGAGTCCCCCCTTGTAGTAAAGGGCTTATCACCAGCAGACATAAGAGGCTGTAGATTCTCCGCACCTGTTAATACTCCAGGTCTTGACTCTGTTTGCTGCGTCTGCTGCGCCAATCTCTTCCACGCACGATGCACAAAAGTCAGATTCGACGTGGGATCAAAGAATTGACCTTCGATCTCTGCAGTCTCAAGACCAGAGTCTCCTTGTGATGTAGATCTTGAACTTGTCTGTTCAGGATTAGTATCAGGAGGTGCAGAACTCATAGATCCTCGCTGTGGTCCGACGGTCGGCGGCGTCGGTGGCCTTCCCCTTCGATAAAGCGAGTCATATTGACAGTCCAGCCGTCTTTTCACACAGCCTTCGCAGGGGAGAGTCCCAGAGCATTTGAGCTTCTTGAGTTTACAGTGATCACAAGCTCGGCTAACCTATTTCCTGTGAGAACAGCACATAAATCCGTCTTGAACATAATAACTCACCTTGGAGGCTTTCCGGCGATTCTCGGACTCACGGGTTGTATCTGGCGATAGAGGCAGAACGCGTTTGCACCGATTCACTGGATTTGTGGCCGTTGATGCTTCGGACAATGGTGTTGTTGTTACTGGGGTGGTCATTTTGGTGGGTTTCCGAGGTTGAATGGGGAGGAATCCGAGATGTGGAGGATGAGAGTGCGGGGAGCTCGGATATTATAGAGCATGGGTGAGCTAGTTGCCCCGGATTTTCTATGACCCCAGGCCCTAGCCAACCTAGAGCTACTACGGATGCGGGATGAACTTTGTGGAATGTTCATCAGACGATCTGTGTTTTTTTGGTTGGGATCTGATGAACGAATTGCAGATTGAAATTCGTAGTTCACACATTTGAGTGGAATCGGGGTGTTCAGGTACTTCTTGAGCTGTTGGAAATCCGAGACGCCAATGGCCAATCCAAAGACTCGCTAACAGTTCCATCATCAACACTCGTACATTTTATGGAATTAATATTAAGACTCCCAAGGTGTACCATGAGATGCAAGCAAAAATGCTGTGCGATAGCCTTTCTAAGTCATTGACTAGTCAGTCTCTTTAGCATTTTAGGTAGAAATCACAAATGAAAGGTGCTTAACAGATGATATGAGATTCTTTTCTTCTAAATCTACAGTACAAGCTCTATGCTATACAATGCCATTTCAATCCTTCATTTAAGCAACCTTCTTCAGAGTCGCCGATGAAATAGCAGCATGAATCTCCTCCTCAGCTCCATCAGGAAGAGGCAACAGAGGCGATCGCACAGTAGCATGTGACAAGATCCCCCTAGCAACAAGCGCATGCTTCAGCGCAACAGTACCCTCCATATGCGAACCCCGGTGATAAACAGCCTTGGTGACAGGGAGAAGCAGATCGTGAATCTCCCTCGCCTTAGCGTAGTCCTTGGCCTTGCCAGCCTTGATCAGCTCGAGGAGAGGCTCAGGGGCGATGCCACCGTATCCGACAAGCATGCCGTCCACGTCAAAGGCGGTGTGGAGGAGGTACTCATCGTGGCAGGTCAGGACGGGGACGTTGGGGCGCTCGCGGCGGAAGACGGGGATCTCGGTGTCCCAGCGTCGCATGTTGCGAACACCGTTCTTCATGGCGATGACACCAGGTTGAGCCGCAATGTCGAGGAGAGTCTGGAGGTTGTACGTGGCCTTGGTGTTATCAGGATACTGGAATAAGATGAGAGGCAGTTTCGAGACCTCGTAAACGACCTTGTAGCGATCCTGAGGCGCACCAGGTTGATACCCAAAGCGCAACCATCCATGCGAGGGGTACAAGAGACCAGCCTGGGCACCAGCCTCTTTGGCACGCTTGGCCTCTAGGGCAGCGACTTCAGTGCCCTCGCCGGTGATACCAGCAATGATGGGGATCTTGTTGTCGACGGACTTGACAAAGGCCTTGATGGTGTCGACCTGTTCCTGCTGGGTGAGGAAGGTTCCTTCTCCGGCGTGGCCTAGAACAACAAGACCCTTGACGCCGTCGATGCTGCCGAGCCAAGAGCCCAGACGCTGGATGGCGTCGTAGTCGACTTTGCCATCCTTGGTGAAGGGGGTGACCGGGGCGGGGACGAGGCCTTTGAGATCGAAAGACATTGTGATTGGTTGTGAGACTTAGAGTGCCTAAGTGTGATTTGAGAGTTGTAGTGATGAATGTTCAAGATTGCTCTTGTTGTTGTTGTGATTGTTGATTGATGTGATAATTTATTTCTCTTCCATTGAGTTTATCGTCTTCTTATATATCTAAAGGAAGTCTCCATCTCGCGCCTCGGCCTTGATCTTCAGAAGGCGAATTCACGAACTTGACGAGAATCCTCCCGACAGAATCCGAGTATCCGAGGTGTCCTCATTCACAAGTATCACCACTTTCAGAGGCGTATTTTGGGTTTCCGAGCGAGCCCGGATTCTTTCTCCGGGGTGTCAAACTCAATTTCCACTCATGACCCCATATTCTACTAGTTCACCCCGGAAATCGATCTAATTCGTTACTTGATTGCTAGTTTTCTACATGGTCTCATCCCCCGCATCCCCGGACTTTGCAACTCCACAATCCAACCCCAGACTCTGGAACCATGACTACGATTTCTTCACATTTCCCTGTTCTCCTTCATAATGACACGCAGCTGATACATCCTAGCTGGGATATAAAGGACCCCCTTGGACCTTGGTCTTCTCTCTTTTTTTCTTTTCATCAGACATCTTCTCATCAAGATATCAAATCACAATGGCAACTCAGACTCAAGATATCGAACGCGAGTTTTCGCGTGATGAAAAGTCTGGGATTATGCATAATGAGCATGCCCAGAATGGTTTATCCCAGGAAGATGCTGATTTCTTGAATAACTTTCCTGAAGAGAGGAAGAAGGCTATTATCCGAAAAGTCGATGTAAGTCTTTTACCCAATCAGTATTTCTCTTTACTTATGCAGATCAGTGGCGATTGATTCCTATGCTTGTTCTCTTGTATCTTATCGCATACTTGGACAAGACCAACATTGGTAAGTTTCACCAACATTTGTGAGTATGGTTAATGGCTAACTTGTATAGGAAATGCAAAGATCGAAGGCATGACTGTTGACTTGCACCTCAAGGGCATCGAGTACAACATCGTCACCGCCATCTTCTTCATCCCCTTTGTCCTCTGCGAAGTCCCCTCCAACATGATCCTCCACAAGTTCAAGAGACCATCTTGGTACATGGGCGGCATCGTCTTTTGCTGGGGTGTCGTCATGACTCTCACTGCTCTTGTGCAAAACTACGCTGGGCTTTTGGCCATTCGATTCCTCCTTGGTATCTTTGAGTGAGTCCCCTTAATCTCGCTAAGACCTTCTGATCATATACTGACTTTCATAGGGCCGGTTTTCTTCCCGGTGCTATCCTCATCATCTCAAACTGGTACCTCCCTAACGAAACACAAACCCGAATCGCAATCCTCTACACATCAGCTGCAACAGGCGGTGCCTTTTCCGGCCTTCTAGCCTTTGCCATCGCCAAAATGGACGGCATGGCAGGTCTCGAAGGCTGGCGCTGGATCTTCCTCATCGAAGGTCTCTTCACCGTCGTTGTCGCTATAATGTGCGTCTTCCTTCTCTGCGATTCACCAGCCCTGTCCACGCGCTGGCTCGACGCCGATGAGATTCGATATCTTGAACTTCGACAACTTGCACGCCGGGCTACAGTTCCCATGGACTACAAGGAGAACGATCACTTCAATCTCCGTCTTTTCAAGGATATTCTTATGGATTACAAGATCTGGCTCTTGTTCTTTGCGAACTGGTCGAACGCGGTGCCCAACTATGCTATGAAGTTCACTATGCCTACTATCCTGACAGGTATGGGATATAAATCTTCTGATGCGCAGTTGATGACTATCCCTCCTTATGCTATTGGCGCTATCTCGGCTTATCTGTTTGCCATCTTTGCGGATAAGTACTCGTGGCGCGCTCCTTTCATCTTGGGACCTCAATGCTGTCTTGTCGTTGCTTTCATCATCTTGTTTGTCAAGTCCAGCAACATCGACGACAACATTGCTGTTTGTTACTTTGCTGTCTGCCTCGCATGCTTCGGGTAAGTCTTCGTCCATCATTCACATAGTCATTCACTAACGATTACCAGCATGTATCCTATTCTTCCTGGTGTCAATGCCTGGAACGTCGCCAACACGCCCGATCCCGCCAAACGATCCGTCAACATTGGTCTTCTGGTCTGTGTCGGCAACATCGGTGGCCTCATCGGCTCTTATATCTACCTCGCGCGTGAAGCTCCCCGTTACCCGACCGGTTACGGAACTTCTCTGGCTTTCGGTTTGGCTGGTATTGTTGCAGTTCTGTTGCTGGAGACTCTTCTCAAGAGAGGCAATGCTAAGAAGGCTAAGATGAGTGAGCAAGAGATTCGACAGAGATATACAGATGATGATCTTGTTCGCATGGGAGAGAAGAGCCCATTGTTCAAATATGCTCTGTAGATATCTCTGGCATTACACAGTACAATAGGTCTAGCGAATATCAGAATGGTTCTTGGATGAATAGTCTAAGCTTATAAGAGTTATCCTAAATTGCAAAGAATTGGATAGGTTTCGTACAGTTATTTATTCTTTACACCTTGATTCAAGTTCACTCGTCCTATCACTCTACGGAGAGCCGTGCGCATATCCGTAATCCATGCTCAATTAACTTTCCAACATCTCAGCCTCATTTACCCGCCCAACGTCCCCTAGTCTCACAACTCTACCCCAACCCCAAACCCATCTGACAATCCCACACACCATCTCACAACATGATTGGTGCCCACAAACAAACCAACCCATGTCCAGGCAGCATCTTTCTCGCCTCTTTGATTCGAGCCAAGCATTGGCACCAACAGCAAAACCAAACCCTTGCCTTACGTTGGATAATCATGACGTTGCGCTTTTTACCTTATAATCAGCCGCATTTTTCGTCTCCTGCTGACAGCCCCAGATCTTACAACTCAAAATGTCGTCGCGATGGCGCCGAATCCTGATGTCACTACGAGAGCGCAGCAGGTGTTAGAGGCGTGGAGTCAGGGTTTCAATGTCGGCGCTGTGATTATTCTGCTGTTGTTGGTTCTTGCAATTATCGCAAGAATACGCTTTTGCATAAGCTTATTCTCGGTGAGGTAAGTTATTCCTTTGTTTTTCGCCATTGAGTATCGATTAATTGTGAATAGCTTCTTCTTGCACTTGGACATGGGTTCTTTTGCTTTTTCGATGAACCTGAATATGGATGGTAGTATTGCATTGATCCACTATGAATCGGTGATTAATGTGAAGCAGGGTCCTCAGCAGCACGGCAACTCTACTATATATCTCATACTTCGTCCACAACCTCATCGCATGGCTCAAAATCCGTCCCTTCCTCCCAAAATGGGGAGCCCGTATCTTCATCATCACCCTTCTCATCGTCCAACCCTACTGGGTTCTCGAAACATGGGCAAATTTCCAATATCATAACCATCTCGGTAGTAAAATCTTCAACACATCACGACTTCTCGAACCACTCTTCAGAGACCCGTGGTGGGTATTCACGACGATCAAACTGGTTCTAGCCATCAACGAGAACTACGAGTTTACGATTCCGGGCCTTATTCGAACGAGTCCACGATTTGGAATCATGTTATTCTCTTTGTTCTTGTCGATCGTGTTTTTGATCACTGATGTCATCTTCATGATTGCCGTGTCGAAAAGAGGGGGAATCAATCCTTTCTGGAGGGTGAGTTTCTTTGTTCTCCCAACAAGCCACTTTCTGATAGGTTTTAGCTCGCTTTGGTTTTCAAATGTGCTTCTGATGTCATTTTCCTGGATGATTTCAAGAGCGTACTTGACAGGATCTCAGAATCGGCTATGCGAAAGATTACAACGTTTGAATATCGTGACAATGCATCACCGTCTGTCAACCAGCATACTTCAGTTGATTTTTCCTCGCCCAACTTCCAACGGAAAGGCTCGAGATTTGGATCATCTTCTAGAGCGGAAATGGGCTCTATTCTCCATCCGGTGGGATCGCGAGACGACGGCCATTTTGAGTTTGCTTCAAATTATAGTCAGGCTTCTGTGGAGGACGGTGCTTCACGACCATGGGCCGAAGATGATGCAAGACGTTCGAGCTCCCATTCGCCAAGGCGGAGAGGGGAGTCCCAGGATAATATGATCACTATACAAGAGGTATAAATATTATTATAATATGCTGGATTTTCACTGACTTGATGTTAGGATGATATGGCCCACGAAGTGGAGGATATTCCAATGGAGCCTGTGAGAGCTCGAACAAGAAATGATCAGGCACGTTAATAAAAGTGTAGGAGGTCTAAAAATTATATTATATAACAGAAATCTATATGGTATTCTCCATTACCCATAAAACCATCCAAGCATTTTTCCTGATCCGAATAAAAATGCCATGTTTGCCCTAGGACTGACTCCCTATCTCCATAGCAATATTAAGCATACTCCTAGGCCACCACGTCTCCATCCCCACAAACTCCCCAAAGAAATTCTTTCTACTCGTATACTTCACTATCCTCCCCAACTCACAAGCCCCAATACCACCAATCCACCAAACACCATCTAGCAGCATAACCAAAACAAGCCAGTGAGAAAAAATATCCATAGCAAGTCTTGTTGTCTCAGAAACATCGGCTTCGCACTGAATACCCTCGTCGGGAATACTATCAGGACTTGTGGGAATGTTATCAAGTACAGACTCGACGATACTGAGGAATTCGCTGGGGATTCTGTTCAGAAACCACATTATTGTCCGGCGGAGGGGCTTAGGTGGTGTTGAGAAAGTTACGCGCGCCATGTAACTTCGAAGCCAGGGTGATACATCTGAGAGTTGACTCAATGCTGCCCAACCTGCTTCGAGATCAGGTTGTTGAGAATCTGTATAGGTGCTCTGATCTGGGTGAAACAGCTCATTCACGATACTGTTCAGCGCTTCGAGGGCGACAAGACAAGCTTGAAGTTCAGTATCGTCAGCTGGTGACTCCCAAGATGGCTTCAGGTGCGCAGCAAACTCCAAAGCCTGCGCTCTCGTTCGTAACTTCTCCAGCGCTGAACCAGAAGTCGCTGCGATGATTGGCATGAGAAGTTGCTCTGTCTGAGGCGTAGGTCCGTTCTCTCCCAAAGGAACCAACCCGTTAGTTGACTGGCTGTTCAGTGTGATATCAGGCGGACTAGCTGTAAAGTCCTCCAAGAATCCAAAATCTTTTGTTGAGTGTAAAAGACCCGTATAAGCCAAATGCGCCGCCCGAATGAGCGTCATCCAATGTAACTGCACCGGTGCCGAACTAGTTCTCTCCCCTTCATCGAACGTCTTTGCGACTTTGATCCTCACAGCATGATTCGCCGTCGCGTAAAGAACCATCAGTGGTGCATTCGCAACAACATGATCGTAATGATTAGCAATTGGAATATCAGCCCTCGTCTGCCGAAGCGACACCCTATGATGTTCATCAGCAAGAGCAAGCAAATGCCTAACCTGACTTTTATCAACCCTCTGCAAAGGCTGAGATATCAAATCATGACATTTCCGCACCGCTGCGAGAGCGAGAATAGAGCTCATGAGGGGTTGACTTCTAAAAGCCAAGTTCGGGAAACCAACTTGCAAAGCATACAGATCATCTTCGTCGTAGGCTAGAGAACGCGCTGTGTGGGAGAGGTAGTAGCTGAAGAGTTCGAGCTCTGCGGCGCCGAGATCGACGGATGGAAGGGGGATTTCTGTAGGGAGGAGGGTGAAGTTGGGACTCGGTGCGAGATAGGGCGATAAAGCCGGTGAGAGATCTGATGTTGAGAGACTTGCGCTTGTTGACCGGGCGTAGTGTGGTGTTGGGATGGTGAGGGACTGAAGTTGACTCCATGAATTGTCTTGTTGCGTGGGTGATCTCACTGCACGAGATTTCTGACGAGGGTATTCACATGGGATGTCTTTATCCAAACATCGTGAACATTGAGGTCTTTGCTCATCACACTATTCCTGTCAGAGCCAAGATCAATTGACGATGAGTGGAGATGATTACCTTTTTTCTCCGCTGTTTGCAGCCCAAGCATCCATGTCTAGACTTTGTATGCGATCTTCTCGATCTAACATTCGAAGTCGGACTCGGCGTTTTACGCGACGGTGGTTCCTGAATCGAAGACATATTAAATTACTCTACAGTCAAACAATAAGGTAAGCATGATTAAACCGCGTGGCGACTAGAACTTATATATCCCCGTCCTCTTAATTAAGCTTACACAAAATCAACTTCTGAGTGGTCAACGCGAGATCCACATTCAAACCGCAGTCAAAATGATTTGAATTAATTTTCTCAGCCTCGAAATTGAGCTACGTAATCACTCACCCACAAAACCCGGCGCCGCGGGCCCACGCTGCGCCTCGCTTGGCTCAGCCCCGAGTATTTGGAATTTCTGTCAGCGGGGTAATGACTAGAAACATGAGCCAATTAGACGTGAGGTGGGTGAATTGGGTGGTTGGCCGGAGCGAAAATGGACGCCGAATTGCGACGTGCTACTGTACCCAGTCCATCGAGCACATCCCGACATTTAACATGAAAAGCAACAGTTCTTTTACACAGGACTCTTCTAAGGAGCAGTCTGTGTTATTGCAGCCAATGGACTTACAAGAGAATGCATCACATCAAGCGCCTGTCGCAAAAACGGCCCAAAGCGGTTGTGATTGCGACCCTGCGAAGGGATGCTGACATTATGAGTCGAAGTGTCGGTGAGCTAATGATTGCCGCTAGAAGAGAATTGGAAGGGCGGGAGAATAAACTCGCCGATCATATGCAGTCATCTTTGGTGCGTGGGTTATCGGCAGTGAGTGATGGCCTATTGGGAGTGATGATGTCGAGAATAAGGATCAGGCAGCGACACCAACAGGAATTGAAGTCTGCAATTATTACTCATTCAATGAATGATGTAATATTACTAATGAGGTATCTAAATGGGTCAAGGCAGAATGCAAGATTATGGCAGGTGAAATAGATATGAGTGAGTCGTATAGGGTAGTCGACATCGCAAACCTGAGTGTGACAAGTACTCCATTCATTCTTCATTGTAATCAAGATTTGCCGCTCTAACAAGGAACCCAAGACTCAATTCCCATGACAACGGGAAGATCAACAAGGCTGAGATCAAGTGTCTGGTACAAAGTCACGATAATACAGAGACAAAGGCCCTATAACTTACCATCGTTCAACGACGAGTATCTTGCGAGTACCAATGATACAATGAGTTGTTATTAAAAAAGAAATCGCCAAACGGCGAGGTGAAAAGTATTGACTACATATTAAAAAAAAAGTCAAACGGCCCAGCCACCCTCAAATCCAGCTCACCAATCACCTCCTTGACCACATTAGTGGGCAGCCCAAAAGGTTTTACAAATACTAAAAGGTCCTCAGCATGGGTAATAAGGGAGCTGCTCAAAGACCTTTTGCTTCTGGCTCGAGGACAACGAATCGAAGGATTTCCAGCCCCCTCTCGCTCTCTCAGGCGAACACACTGGGATCTGAATGAAACCAGGCAATCTGATATTTACCTCGCTTGGGTTATCTCCAAGGAGAAAGTCGTAATTGCTGGTTTTGGTTAGGTCAAGAAACCCACCACCATTTTTCTCCTTGTTGGCCTTCCAACCCTCGACTGCCCTATGATGTACCTAGGTTAGCATGACGCTCTATAGCCAGACTCCCGTTTACTCACCCAGCGACAAGATCTTGAGCAGTGATCCCTCCCCAGTCGTAGGCACCTTGCTTCTTAGGATCCAGATTATCTATTCCCTGTGGCGCGGTGAAGTAGTTGGCTTTGCAGTCTGTGGGATTACCGCCTGTGCCACCGGGTACCTGAGGATCACAGTTCCGCTCCCGGCCATTCGGCGCAAGGAGATAATACCTGCGGCCTTTGTAGCAGTACCCCATCTCCTCGCCAGTGCTCGGCGCAATGTACTCGTAGTCGAGCGGCCCGACAGCGTTGCAATCATAACCGGAATCCATGACGAAGGCCGGAGCATATCCTGCGCCAACCTTCCAAGCCTCGGGGATGAGGACTGCGAAAAAGACTTTGCGCAGTTGTTTTCGAAGATCTGACATGTCAAAGGTTAATTCGTCATTGTTGAATTTACCGTCGGCAATCAAATCTCCGATGAGATCGACAGACTCATCGTCTCCGCGGAATGCTTTTTCGGTAAAAGCTTCGATGGACTCGGTCCAGAGATCTGAGACCTCGCTGAGCTTGCCAGCTACTTTGCTCTTAGGTGTTTCCCTCTTGCTATCCATGATGTTTAGAGCGAGTTGAACGAACGGCTGGAGGAGTGAGTGAGACGAACCTGTTCTGTATATCCTTGGCTACAGTAGCTCCCCAAGAAGCCGTGTTCGCAATAAGGTCCTTGATGTCGACGGTATGACTGTCTTTCGTCTGCATAACTAGATAGGGAAGTCAGTTCAAGCCATCAAAAATGAGGGTCCTTTCTCAGTAACTTACTCTTGCCGAAGAGGGGAGCGGCAAACATCCCCACGGCGATTCCGAGAAAGTCTGCAATCAAATTGAACTCGCTTGACTCATCCACATCTGGAGCAAAAGTTTCTACCAGCTGATCTAGCTTCGACTGCATGCCATTCTCAACCTTGTCAACAGTCTGCCAAAGGCTTTTGAACGTCTTGAGAGAGAAGTTAGCTCCTGGGCAGGGTATGGTATGGACGCCGACTTACAGTATGTATGCTAGCGAAAGAGTTGAGGATAAAGTAACCGGCAGGTCCCGAGTCCTCAGTATCCTCACATTTGTCTTCCTGATCGCACCCATTGACGCCTACAGAGAACGATGCACAGTCAAACTTCTCATAGCCATCTGCAAGGTCTGACACATGCCTGGAGAACTTGTTCGCGTTCCCCTTTCCCGTAACATTCAGACCCTCAGATGATCTCTTATCGACCCAAGAAGACGCCAAGTCTCTCCAGGCGCAAGGGGCACGCATGGCATCCCAGCGCGTCTTGGGGCTCATACCAGACTCTCTGACGGGTTTGTCTAGACAGCTAAACCCATCCTTCGTCTTCCACTTGCATTTACCGTCCTTGTCGATTATCTCAATCAAGTTGCTGTTTTCAAGCTTGCCAAACTTTTGAAGATCAACAGCCCAGTCGGTCACGCCGCCAAAATTGAGTCCTTGATACTTGGAAATCCGCCTCCTCTTGGTCGAGTCAGACATGTAGGCAACCCACTCGGTATCGTTGTACACTAGAATATCGGAGTCACTCTCGTCAATCCACCAGGTTGCCTGCTTGTTGGCTATGTTCTCAATCTCAGCATTCGAGATGTATCCGGACTCCCCTGTGCAAACGCCTTTGCGAGCTAATGACTCTGTCGAGGACCCGAGGAACGTACACATGGGGCCTACACATCCCTTTTTCGCCATCTTGAAGGACCTTCCATAGCTTGTAATGCCAACGATAACCTTGGTCGAGGGCACGCCAGCCTTGGTAATCATGGCGAGAGCACCCATCGTTTCCGTGAGGTTCACGTGAGATCGCAAGCAGTTTCCTTTCGGACAGCCGGGAGAAGCCCATTTATTGTCGTAGTCCCATTGACCGTGTAGATCGTAGGTCATGTAGATGATGTAGTCAACAACCTTGGCGATGTTATTGATGGGGTAGGGTTTCAGATACCAGAAGGAAGCAGGAGCTGCAATAGACAGCGACAAACCGCCTAATTGGCCCTTGAGAAGGGTTAATAGGCCAAGGTAGTTCTTCCCATCCTCCTCGTCGGCTTTGGGGATGTCTGGGATGTCTGGAGCTCCAGGATATTCCCAGTCAATATCGACACCATCTAGATCATGCTTCTTGATAAAAGCTGCAATATTCTTTGCGACCTGAAGTCGATTCTCCATCTTGACCGCGTTACGAAGAATATGATACTTGGTAGGATGAGTAGAATCCACCCAGCCCCCAAAGGCAAGAATGCGTTTAGGTCCTTTGAGCTTCTTGAACTTGTTGAACTGGTAAGAGACGTGGCTCACATCAACTTCGAAGCTATCAGTAAGTCGAGCAAATGAAAAATGAACGTGGGTAAGTTCAGATCTCTTTTCGAGCTCCGAAACATCCATCCAGAGGCACGGTCGATCTTGATTCCAAGCCTCGAAGTAGCCGACACTCATGAAAGACGAGGGGGGGGACTTGTTATTCACGATGTCGGTCCCGCAGTTGGAAATACACCCGTTAGTCCCTGGCTTTGCAGTACCTGGAGCTCCAAGCGTGGTGTTCTTGCAGAAGTCTGCCGTTATACCACATTGTCCCCAGATGTTGCAGCATGCGTTAAGAGGACAAGGGTTAAGATTGGCAAGGTCTGTCCCCTTCTCAGGCTTCTTCGTGCCAGGTTTCTGAGGTCCACACTCTGCGTTGGCAATGGGGTTGGGCATGGGCGGGTCGCCTTTGCTCAAACAAATCACTGCCTTGTCGAACAAGAGTTTGCACCCAGACCAGCCCCAGGTATTCTTGTTGAAACTCTCGATGTCTTCAACCTTGAGAGAGTTTGCAGCCGCAATCTTGCTACAGAAGTCGCCTGATTCGACAGTATATGTTGCGCATCCGCCGTCAGGCCTGGGCTTGGGGCGAAAGTCAGGCAAATCTCCAGAGGTACAGCAAACATGCTGGCCATCGATCAGAGTAGAGCACAAGTTCTTCGTCTGACTGTTGTACTTTGTGAAATCGGCTGATTTGATTCCACAACGCTGAGCTAGGTCGCCACAGCCATCTCCCGACTTGACCTGAATGGTTTTGCACTCTGCGCGCTTCGAGAGCTTCGATGCCGAGGAGTTGGAAGGGAGAAAAACCGCGGTATCATCCTTGAAGGTGTCGACGAGGAAGCTGCCAAAGTTTGTACTGTGCTGGAGTCCGTCGATACACGTAGCATTACTCCACGCGCTCACGGCTACTTGAGCGTTGATGAGCGAGGCAGCACCAGGTGTAGTATCGATCATGATACCAGAAGTGTAGTCAGAATTGCGGCCATCGCCACAAAGCTGGACACCGAGTCTTTTTGGCATCCCAGACTCCCCAAGACGCATCAACAGCGCCTCGATGACGACGTTGGCAATGCTGCTTGGCACAACCTTATCTCCGATGTAAAGGCCCACAGATGTGTCACCATACTGAGAGAAAATCGACTGTCTGTCTTTGTAGCCCTCGGTCAACAGGAACGATTGCAGTTCCTTCAGTGCGGTGATGGCTTGAGGCACTATGACTCTCTCATCGGCGTCATCCCAAACAAGCTCAAGCTTAGATTTGGTCTGAGTATTCCTAGCCAGCGATGAGGTGTTTTTGTCGCTGGGAAGGTCAAGGGTTTCTCCTTGGTAAGAAGTACATGCTCTCAAGACATTGCCAGGACCCGAAGGTCGAAGTGGGTAATGAATGGTGAAGTCGAGAAGTCTCGGTTTGTGATTACAAGCCAAGGCTTCGTCAAGACTTGTAAAGAGCGTCCAGTTTGAAGAGTCAACTCCAGCCTCATCAATGAGCGGTGGACAGGAGTTCAGCTGAGGAGCTGCTGTTCCAGAAGCGAGAGCCGGGTAGATTGTAAAGACAGTACATAGCAGGACGGCTATAAAGATAGGGATATGCATAATGAACGCCCAAGAAAGTCATTCGTTATGTAAATAACAGAAATATCAAAAGAATGTGCTGGAACCAGAGTCCACGGATAGGTTTGAAAGAGCGTAAGGGCATTCAACTATAATTTCAAGTCTCAAACAAACTGAAAGAATTATGTATTACATTCTTATAGATCATGAATTTCATTTTCTTCATTCCATCGCACGGCGAGCTCCTAACTCCCTTCTAGCCGATGAGTCCTCGGGTGGCTAATTTTGTGAGGGCTTGGCGGGACTGTTGGTTCTGTTCAAAAACAACGGTTAAAGCCAATGGTGGCATGACTGCAAAGAATGCAACCGTCTGTTGGTTCCAGGGTCTCTATAACTCGCTCAAATGACCATTTAGCAAGGATGCAAAAACGGGGGTTCGGGACAAGGCACATTGATCCGATGGCTGTGTGATGGAATAAACCATCCATTTCCTCAATCCGTCAAAGAAAATGTGGTGTTGTTGAACGAGTCGGCCGCTGCATGAGAGGTAGAAATGTGGCACAGCCTTGCCAAGCAGTATGATCACTTCTCTGAAGGAGTGATAATTAGAACTTAATTACATAGCGAAGAAAGCAACAACAGCAGCCCATATCACCACAGCAGTCAGAGCGGCGGGTAACATCAGATTTGCCACATCCTCGGCGTCCTTGGAACCCGGATACAGGCGTCGGCAAGAGTCTGGACCCAGTAAATTCTTCTCATCGGGCCATGACTGATTTTCCGGGCATCCTGCGTACCTGAGCATCTCACCACGAACCACGGCCGCCAGCTCATGACCAGTGTCAATGCTACACGGATCGCCTTGTACTTCTTGATCAGTGACCACCACGCAACTTTCAGACCTCCTATCCTCAACTACCTCTTTTGGTGTTGTTCTGTTATCCAAAAACCGAGTGTGCTGGATCTCGATGGGGCAGCGCCCTTCGGGCTTGTAAGTGGGGAGTGAGCCGGAAGATGATATCGAGAATTTGATAGACCCGTACTTCCAATATCGCTCAAGTCCAGGGGAGCACTCTTGGAGAACTGACAAACTCCATCCAAGCTCCCACTCTTTATAAGAAGTGTTGGACATGATGTCTGTAGCGTTGACCAAAAAATATGGTTCTGTTGCTGGATCAAGCGACCCTGAACTGTAAAGCCAATCCGGAACCGATCCATGGTCAATAGGCACATCCTCTTTCTTCATGGGAGTTGTCCAATTGCCCTCCAACCTCCACTGGAACTTGAAGCCATAAGGCCAGGCCTTGGCAGCTCCAGTAAGGGCAAACACGATAGGAAAAGGGTACACCGGGCGGTACGTCTCATTTGGCCGAGGGAATATGAGACTGACGCCAAGGTCAATGGGGAATTGTGACGAAGGCTTCTCCTTCGCCTGCATGCCAAGGACTGCAAAGGTTCCCAGGAGTATCCTAATCATAATGTCAGCATGATCTGATGGCCGTAGGAACCGGGACGCAGCGGACAGACCCGAGGAAAAGAGAGGCATTCATGCTTTCAATTCTTTGCTTTGTTGGTTCAGTACTTGGTTGTGTGGGGAATCCCGGGTTTGGAAAAGGGATCGCATGGCATATTTATCTACATTCGTGCCCTGGTACCTGCATTGACTCGGCAGGGCGGGCCGCACCATGTCATCTGGAGGTTATTGGTCGGACTTGGCACTGCTCAATGAGAGTGATTGCGGCGTAGGAATATGCAAGCCCCGGTATTGATTTTGCTCGGCTAAAATTAAAGGGAACGTACGATTAATGTTGCAGTCTGAACCAACATGCAGAAATATGCATATCTTTAACCTTTTTGACTCGCTGTGGAGTGGTATGATTGGTTGGGAGTAGTGACCTGATTCAGGCAAGTCTCCTTCGTACACAACCTCTAATGATACTATGCCATTCATCCAGACCAACTTGGAAGCTGAGTTAGGTGGGACAATCTGTTGAAGCAATTAAACGGGCTATTTGGATGAATATATCGCTTTTATCCGGGACTGTGGTACAGTTCAACCTGGTGAGAATGGAGACGTGTGTGAGGCGCGTGATGTGAGCCACGAGAATGGAGACGATTCCAGGGCACGGGCGAACTGCCTGTCTACGATGAGAGGTTACCCGAGTAACCAAGACATTCGAGTGTATATAAGGTATGATGAAGAAAGTACATGTCCTGAGACCTACTTCTGCCTCACACAAGCAAGTATTGCAATCCGTCCCCTCGCTTTTGTTCGCCATGCAGTTATTCCTTCTTGGGACTCTCTCCCTTCTCTTTCAAGCCAGCCACGGCTCTTCATCTCGCCACCAGCGCCGTGATGACAAGCCATCTATGCCTATCGCCCCGGGAACCATACAGAGCTGTGCTTCTTGGTATGACAACGACGGGTCACTTCCGTGTGAGCTGATCCCTTATGCATGGAATCTGTCTTTGGAAGACCTGATTAGATGGGTTTGTTATGGCACTTGTCCAGTAAAGATCAAGGCTAATGGCGAACATAGAACCCCTCCATCACTGCAGAATGCGGGAACTTCAAGGAAGGATTTTCCTATTGCATTCAAGAGAAAGAAGTACCCGTCCCTATCAGCAGCACCACGACCAAGTTCACCACGGCTCCTCCGTCCTCTACCACTCCCGTTTCTTCGAAGACAACACCCGCGAAGCCATCTACAACTGCCGTAGGTGGCAACGGCGTCGAGACGCCAGACCCAATACAGCCTGGCATGGTATCGAACTGTAACAAGTTCTACTTTGTTGAGCAAGGTGACAACTGTAATGCAGTTTCCTCCAAGCACGGAATAACCCTAGCCCAGTTCACGACTTGGAACCCCAAGCTAGGCACGGGCTGCTCGGGACTATGGGCTGATGTCTGAGTCTGTGTGTCTGTAATAGGACATACAGCAACTCCTACGCAGTCTACTAAACCTACCAACGGGATCGAAACACCATCACCTATCCAGGCCGGCATGACTAAGAGCTGCAACAAGTTCCATCTTATCAAATCCACTACAACCTGCAACTCTATAGAGAATTACTATAAGCTTCCTCTCAAGGACTTTTATTCTTGGAATCCCGCGGTCGGCACCAACTGTCAGTCTTTGCTCGTCGACTATTGGGTTTGTGTCAGTGTAGTTGGCTGGACAGCCCCAACTCCTACAACACCCAGTAACGGAATCACCACGCCCACGCCTATCCAGACTGGCATGGCCAAGAACTGCAACAAGTTTCACACAATCAAGTCAACAACCACGTGTGCCTCGATTCAGGACTATTACAAAATCTCATTCGCGGACTTTTATGCATGGAATCCCGCCATAGGCTCAAAGTGTACATCCCTCTTGGTGGGCTACAACGTCTGTGTAGGTATCGTCGGCCAGCAGCCCTCACCAACAAGTACAGGCAATGGAATAACCACTCCCACGCCGATACAAGCCGGTATGACCAAGAGCTGCAACAAATTTCATACCATCAAATCAACAACGACGTGTGCTTCGATACAGGATTACTATAAGATATCCTTCGCCGACTTCTATGCATGGAATCCAGCTATAGGTTCCAAATGCACCGCTTTATGGGTTGATTATAATGTTTGCGTGGGTGTAGTTGGACAAAAGCCTACTCCTACCCAGCCAAGCAACGGTGTCACCACTCCTTCACCTATCCAGAGCGGTATCACCAAGAATTGTAAGAAGTTTCATCAGGTGAAATCAACCACGACTTGCTCGTCGATTCAGAATTACTATAAGATCACGATGGCCAATCTCTTTAAGTGGAATCCTGCTATTGGTTCGACTTGTAAGAGCTTGTGGGTGGACTATTGGGTGTGCGTGCAGGCCTAGACCTGCTTTCCTATCTCACAATTTTGCTTCTTTATATGTATCTCTTTATTATATTCTACCCCTTATATATGCAATTTCATATCTTCCTTAAATCAATATTGGATGTCACACTCACTGTCGTTTCCCGCTGAGACAAGAGGGAAGAGGAATCATGTGCCAATGAGAAGCCGCGCTAGTCCTCTTCCGTTTGGTAGCGTTTTCGTTTGCGACCAACAACCCACGTCCATTGGCCCAAGCTCCAAGCCCCGTCAGATCTCACGCTAGGAATCACGGCTCGCAGCTTCACTGCACTTGCACTTTCAAGCCC